TGGTGTGTGTGTGTGTGTGTGTGTGTGTGTGTTGTGTGTGTGTGTGTGTGTGTGTGTGTGCTTGTGGCGTGTGTGTGTGTGTGTGTGTGTGTTGTGTGTGTGTGTGTGTGTGGTGTGTGTGTGTGTGTGTGGTGTGTGTGTGTGTGTGTGTGTGTGTGTGTGGTGTGTGTGTGTGTGTGTCTGTCTGTCTGTCTGTCTGTCTGTCTGTCTGTCTGTCTGTCTGTCTGTCTGTCTGTCTGTCTGTCTGTCTGTCTGTCTGTCTGTCTGTCTGTCTGTCTGTCTGTCTGTCTGTCTGTCTGTCTGTCTGTCTGTCTGTCTGTCTGTCTGTCTGTCTGTCTGTCTAGGTGTAGGTGTAGGTGTAGGTGTTGGTGTAGGTGTAGGTGTAGGTGTAGATGAAGGTGTAGGCGTAGGCGTAGGCGTAGCCGTAGGTGTAGGTGTAGGTGTAGGTGTGGGTGTGGGTGTAAGTGTAGGTGTTTAGGTGTTAGGTGTTTAGGTGTTTAGGTGTTTAGGTGTTTAGGTGTCTAAGTGTTTAGGTGTGTAGGAGTTTAGGTGTTTAGGTGTTTAGGCGGTTAGGTGTGTATACATGCATGCGTGCATGTCTGTGTTTCTTGGATGGGTTTTTGCATGCCTGTATGGATGCACACGTATCAAAATAGCAGGGTCATGCTTTCTTTCTTCTAATTTTGAGCGCCGCCGTTTTGGACGTTCTGTGTTTGTGTCGTTAGTTGTGACGCTTGCCAGCAAGCTACGCATATCTGCCCGCCCGCTCAATAAAAACCACTGTCGATCCAAGCTGGTCGCACTCTGGATATGTCCAGACGGGCACATGACCTAAGGAAAGATTGACCGCTGACCCGAGTTTCCGGCTCATGCGTCTGCAGCAGGCAGCGCAGGTCTTAGCTCATGACAGCATGCTAACACTACATCACGACATGTCTGCATCACGCCTTTGTCTGCCATGTTTGCCTTCCAAGGCACAATCCACAGGGCTCCAGGTCTGGTGATCAAGATTTGTGCCGAGTAAATGCCGCGAATACAGTCGAACATGTACATCGGTAGACGCAAGCTCACAAAGACAGGTGGCCTCAAATACCGGTCCATCTCTGAAGAGCCCCAGAAAAGCGTACACAGTAAAATACACACAAAACCATCCCAACACATCCCAAAATTGATTGCAAAAACTGCCTCTACTTTCGGCCTTAGCATCTCATGGCTTGCTCCCACAATCACTGGGGCAGTGCGAGCTGTAAGACGCGGATGCTAAATCCACTCGACCATCGCGAAGTGGGCTTGCGGAGCACTGTGTTGAAAGGGTTGAGTGTGAGTGCTTGCCCCCGTCCAGCTCACCCTCAGGGGAGGTTCCTGCTGGTCACTCAGCTGTTCAAAGATCACCTGCGATACAAGAATCACGGAGGGCTTTGTTCCGACGTCGCTCATTCGAAAAACACCTGTTCGTGTGCCTTCGCCCTTTGGTCCCCTTGGTCAATACCCATCGCACAAGAAATTTGCCCCAGCCCTTGGCTGCGAGAGATTTTCAAGCAGCTAGACCTGAGGGGGCTGCCAGTGGAGTCATGCAGCTAGATGGCTAAACAAAGAGCAACAACACACCAGAGACCATCCCCACCTCACGCAACATTATGCGACGAGGGACTGAGGAACCCGGGATGCCAAGGAAAGTGTCAAGCCAAGAGCACAAGAGACCCAACACCCCAAAAACAGTAGAACGAGTCAACGAGCAACTTCGCGGAAAGCATCGAAAAACTCGCGCCGCTTTCAATTAGAGGAGACCACGTCGACGCCCTGACGGCAGAATGACGACCGCACGCAGATTGCGTCCAGGGCGCGGATTGCTGAGGGTATTTTGGGCCCGTTCGCTTCTTCGGCGGGACTGTCTCAGCCCTGGCCCGCAGAGGACTGATGCCACAGGCATCCGTGTTAATTTCACGAGATTGCTCGGCCCCTTCGGGGCGCATCACTCTGGCGGGCCTGCATTCTTCGATCTCCTACGCCATCCTATGCATCACAGATTACTGTACATCCACGATCATCCACGCCACTTCTCCAAGTATGTCCAACAAAAGCAAAGTTTGTCTGATCTGGTATTGCTGGTTTAGGAGCCATCACCGTGAGCAACAAGTGGCAACCATCACCGCTTGCCTATACAACACAGATTCCTCGAAACGAGTCTCGACTGTGCTGCAATTTGTGAAGATGATGGCTGCAGCGAGGCATGTTGGCTTTGTCATTTCAGAGTATGCCGTTGTCATGTCAGAATCTGTCAGATATCATGTTCCGAGAAGTGAATTGCAGCCATCGGCTCTGTTCTGCAGCACTCTGCAATATTCTACAGCTACAGCTCAAGCTTTGTCCTGGCCTTCCTCACGTCGCGAGCTTCGACGGTCAGGACGGGGGTCATGTCCGCCATGGTGGGCACAACCGATTGCCGGCAGTGGTCTTTGAACAGATCCGTCGCTGTGATGCTCTTGAGGTGCTCCTCCAGCCTAGGGCGAATCAGGGCGAAGCAGCGAAGCACACCAAACAGCGGATAGACCATATGGCTACCCTGGCATATCCACAACAGGGTCTGAGCCATAATGGCGTAGATTCTTGGGTGCTGCCTGGGCTCGGCTGGCTCTTGTGCAGAGTCGTTTGCAGCAAGGCAGCGAGGGCCTCGTTCAGGGTCAACCATTCTGCTTTCCGGCCTAGGCCTCATCTTGATGCCTCTGTTTCCCTGCCACAGCCTCATGACCACAGCACAGGTCCCCAAGCCACGCTCCAGCAGGTTGGGCCTCAGATAGTCCCCAGATGCTACAACCTTCTGTGAAGTGCATCATCTGTACTGTGCAACTTGATTTATATGATGATAGCGTGTAAAACTGTGAAAAGTTCGCCCTGGCCCTTGAGTTCGGGGACCCGAATACTGTACGAAAAAGCCTCCTGGGTATCCCACGTCCCCTCCCCGTGCAAGGAGGAAAAAGGAACCTCCGAAACACCGCCGGACAACGGTGGCACCGTCTTTGCGCCCCCTAACCCGTCCCCCCCCCCACATGACCCCCCTTCAGCCATTTCAGGTGACCGGTACCCTGCTAAACCTGCCCCTAAAACCCCCATAAGCCCTCCCTAACTCGTGACCGCATGCCTTGCTGACCCCTTCCTGGTGAGCCAGAGGCTGTTCTCCCGACCCACCAGCGACATCCCAGTGACCTTCTGACCCGCTGCGTAAACCCCCCCCTCTGTGTTCCGCGACCCAGTGACCTCACCCAGTGCGACATTCTCAGTTCGAGATTGTCAACTGAAACTTGCAACCGTTGCCTGCGCTTACTGCCTTAGGATTTCGCATTTAAGTCAGGGCTTCCGGGTTGGGGAGTTCGGGGCTTGGCGGTTTCGGGCTTAGGGTCCTGAAAGTCCAACCCGCCGAGCTCCGTGGCAGGGCTGGGCTTCCCTGAGCCCTAAAGCCTGGAAGAAACCCTCAACCCCGCACAGATGAACTGCGGCGCTTGCGAGGTCGGCCTCTTAAGCTCTTTGTACATACTGCATCATACAGAGAAGCATAAGCAGAGCTCAAACCCAAAACGCACCCCGGAAAAAAAAATGCACACAACGATTCCCGTCTCGAGCCGCAAACGTATCCCCTGAAATGTTGGAACAGTTATGAAATCACTCTGTTGCGGCCTCACACTCGTGGCGCACGAAGGCTGCCGCATAGCCACGGACAAGGCGACGGCCCACCTGCAGACGACTCGGCAATACTGAACATTCCGTGACTTACAGAAGCCCAACCTTGCTGCAGGCGGCGATAGCGGATCTGAACATGTCGGTGTCCACGTGCATCAACTGGGAAGGTTGCAAACATGTGGCTGCGAAGTCGAGCCGGCCAACCCCGTGCTGAGAGCATGGACATCACTCTGGCACTTTGCTGCCAACGTGCCGCAATGCCTGGTGATTGCGAGCTTGCAAGGACGAGAAAGCAACGTGTGTATAGATAGATACAGAGATAGGCTGAGATAGGTATACAAAGTTGACAACACATGTATACGTATATGGATGTTTTACAATACCTTGTAGGACCGGGCAGCTGCCAGCCTCGTATTCACACCCTACCATTGCATCAGTCGGGCTCAAGTCGGCCTCCAACTCACCCAGAGTGCAATCTCACTGAGCCAGTCGCCTCCCATATGGCGCAGAAAGCAAACCACCGAAAGCACATCTCATGCAATGTCTATGTAATCGCATCAGCTCGAAGCTCGGCTCCGCTGGCCTTTCTGAATCGGAACTGGATCCAACAAGGCAGATCTCCAATACTCCAGGTCACCACTGGTCACGAAGTACATGCCAGATGCCTGCCGGCGCGAAGCATGGGATTGGGAACTCTACCCGCTGCTCATCAGCTCTTGGTTACTGTACCAGACTGTACCCAATGCCTGCTCTCCCTTGATGAAGATGGTGTGCTCTGTGCTGACCCTGACGCACTCTGCACGAGACGCATGTCCAGCACTTCACCTGTAGTAAATGCAATAATCCGGCCTGATCTCCGACAAAGCATGGTGACAAAGTCTGTCCAAAGTCCGCGCATCTGCCTCCACGGCCCACAACACCAACACACACACACACACACACACACACACACACACACACACACACACACACACACACACACACACACACACACACACATACATATATGTTCGCACCCACTACACACGCACATGCGCACGCGCACGCGCGCACGCGCGCACGCTCGCGCGCACACACGCGCACACACGCGCACACACGCGCACACACGCGCACACACGTGCACACACGTGCACACACGCGCGCACACAATCCCACACCCCTACCCACCCACCCACCCACCCACCCACCCACCCACCGACGCACACACCCACGCACACACCCACACACACGCACACGCACACGCACCCGCACCCAAACCCACACCACAAACACACCCGCCTGCCCGCCCGCCCACACGCACTGGCAGTCTCGGCATTGCAGGACTGCGGCTGCTCTTGCTCATACCTACCCTGCAGTCAATATCCCAACTGATCTCAGGACTGATTTAAATGCCTACCCACATCACCTCCATATGACGCCATGCGTGTGCAGCCAATCAGTCTGTCCGCCTCCCGAAACTCGACAAAGAACGGGTGACGACAAAGAACTGGACGGTAAACCGCCTGGACGGCAGCTATGGTGCAAGGGAAAGTCTCTGCATCGCCTAAGAGCAGATACGAGCCTCACGTAGCTTGAACTTCAAGCGCTCCGGCACTTCAGCCAAAGGTTCTACATCGTCTTCCTGTGTAGAAGTAGGCACAGCTTTCCACAGCACTGGACAGTGTACGTTTAGCCTTACAAGTCTACCAAGGACCGAGCGTGAACGCGCACTCGATGATGCTTCCGATGGCCTTGACTGACAGCCGGAATGGCTGCAAAAAAAACATGAAGCTGATACGAAGGCCATTGGCACCATTCAGTAGCCATGAGTTGCATCGACCCTGTTGATCTCGAATCTGAGGTGGTGAGTGAAATTCACTCGCGCTAATTTAAAGCCATCTTCCACGCCCTGGGTGGCGTCCGATCAAGAGGTTTCAGCAATGCTTCCGGTATGAATTTCAGCAATCCCAACAACCTTCCTGCTATCTCTCTCTCCAAGCCTTACGTTCGCTTGTGACAAGAATTCAATGTGTAAAGCTTGGGCCGCGACTACTAATCCAGTCGTAGATGCACTTGCTGACTTCAGGAGGCACCCTGCGGGCTGGAGAGGGTCCGTGTGCACTATTTCCCTGTTCAAGCACGCTCCGGAGATAGAATTGACTCCATGGTAAGTCTCCGGCTCATTTTGGGAAAAGTACCGGCGAAGGGACGCTTGCTGCTTCTGCTTCTCACCTTATGATCTCGCTTGTGGCATGGTTGGTGCACAGCAGTTAGGAAGGTCACGGGCTGCGTTTTGTCACAGCTTCCAGAGCCTACAAGCTTCGGCATACGACCACAACAGTGACACGAAAATCGCGGACTGTATGGTTTGCGGATCGGGCTCGGAGAACTGCCAGGAAAGATAAGCGAGAAGATGAGGGACCCAACGGACTGCACTCATTGGAGATCCTCATGGCACCTCTGAGCGCCCGGCTGTTGAGATTTCGTAGCTGCGTCATCTGGGAGTCAGCAGCGGCTTCAGCAGCAGCTTCAGGCTTCAGGGATCACCCCATGTCGAGCTTTACAGAGCACATAAGGCCCCGACTGAGGATGTGATGTTGGACACGAAGGAGGAGAACGAGATCAAGCCGCATATGATCTGGAGTCAGATGGCAGGTAGATGCAGCCGAAAGGAATGGAAGAAGCATTGAATGCACAGCTGCATTTCATGAAGAGCTTTGTCTACCAAGGCTATGCTTGATGATCTGGGGCGAAGAATAAGTACTGCAAAACACTGCAATCACAGGGTCCCCACCGTACAAACTGAGTAGATGCGCTCAGAGGTGTTGACGGCGTTGACCTGTCACGAAGGGAGGGCTTTCCAGTCCTTGCGAAATTGGCCAACTCACACAGTATCTCAGCTACCCATGTGTTCAGTGTGTATCGGACTCCTCCCATAAAACCGGACTGTATAGACAGGTGTAGAGTATGCGGTGTTGATTGACACGCCCTAAGAAGCTCCAACTTGCTGATCTTTGCGCAGAAAGGCCCTACCTCAATCGCAGCTGGCGTGAACTGGCACAGCCTCGGTGACTCCATCACGGGACTCATCTGACAGTAAGGACATTTCAGGGCTGCGATACACACGTTGTTTCACCTCAGAGCCGTAAGAGCCTAGCGCCCAGTGCAGGGACCTAAGCAGACTGGCCATTGCGTTGGACAAGGGTGCGTGTGGGTGCATATGGATGCATGTGGGTGCATACGGATACATATGGGTGCATACACTGCATCCTCACTTCTCGGCTTGAGGGCCACTGGCCGTAACGTTCAATGATTAATGCTTGAACATGTCTTTGAGAGCTTCCAAGGTGAACTTCAGCAAGCCAGCGCATGCAACGGGACTAGCAGAACACGGCACTCCTCTCTTCTCGGCTCCTAGCGTGAAGTACTGATATCCGAGAGATCTCTTGAAGGGCGTCTCGTCCTGGCAAGCATGATGGAAGCTGCGTGCTGATGCGATCTGATGCCAAGCATTCCCCGAAGTCAGCTGGGGGATCTGTCTTGCGAAAAGGGGATTGCACTTCACGGTGTACGAACTGATCACATTGCACATTCGGTGCACGCACGCACAGGGACAGACAGACGGACGACAGGCGCACGCGCACACACATGCACACACCGACACACACACACACACACACAAAGAACTAAACAACTCTGACTTGGCCATTCTATATCCCAGCAAAGTGTTCTTGGAGAATCAAGATTGAAACCAGAAAGAGTGAAAAGTCTGGACAAATACTTAAGCTCAGGGGTGGTTGGATGACATATGGTTGGTTATACGTACGAACAGGTGCAAAAGGAAAGTAGGTATAGATGCGGCCAAGAAGAACCCCAAATCTGAGAATCTGTTCACCCAAGGAGCGTATAGCAATTACATGTTCAGCTCTTGTCACTGGCATTTTGCGCAATGCTGCTCTAAAAAGTCCGCAGCGAATCCGGAAAGGACAGAACTTCGGTTCATGTTGCAGCTTGGGTAGACACACAATTCCTGTCACACAGAACTCACAGAAATCACAGCAGAACTCACAGAACTTCATCACCTGGGGCTGGCGCTCCCGTGAGGCCATGGACCGCGACCCACGTCACCGGGGCCTTTTACCAATAAAAAAACCGAGCAGCTCCACCCGAGGCTCCACTCAACTCCGCTACTTTGGCTTCTAGAGGTGTAAAGCTTAGTATCGGTAAAAACGGTAAGACTTATGGTAAGTCTTAGTAAATAATAAATACTATAAATAATATGTATTTAAACATGGTTTATTAATATCACTAAACACAGCGGCCGTGGAGATGCCGAGGTGCAGAGGTGTCCCAGTACCCCAAAGCAAACCAGCCGCATGCAACCTTGCACGGGGGACTGAGACGAACTTTGCATTGTTTTGCAGCTGCCGATGTGTGCAATCATGCGCATATCGCAGAGTGGCATAGTGGTTCATGACAACGACGATGACGACGGCAAACCACCTCGGCTCTGCTTTTGGTTCGTATTTGAAAGCAGGGCAAATACTGAAGCCTTCCAGGGAAGGATTTTTTGGCGCAGGTCGCGGGCTCATATAGCCGGGTGCTATCCATGGCTTTGGCAGAGTCTCCACAAAGAAAAAGCTTCTGCGAAGTTTTCCACACGATTGCACCGCGCAGCGCCACGCTTGATGCAAAAGCAGTATTCTTCGATGCTTGCTGATGCTTGACTGACTTATACGCGTGCCTGTCAGGGCAGCAAGGGCCACGCATGAAGACCTGAAACTGGGTATAGGGTATCTTTTGTCGTGGGGGATCGCGGGATGCAGGTCGAGGGGACGCCGGACGCCGGGAAGCGGACCATGTTGGACGCATGCCACTCGAGACGCTCGCCGCGCGGGACATTATATTCCCCAGCCCTAAACCCTAAAACTGCAATTTCGAAATCGAAACACTAAAACCCTAAGCCTTATAAAGCCTAAAACCCCAAACCAGAAACTCCGAAACCGTACACCCTACACCTGAACTCTACATCAGTCAACCCTCAAACCCTAAATCTGCCCAACCCCAAACTCGCATAACCCTAACCCTTTCAGCCCTCAACAAACAAAAGCTCTTAACCGTGTAAGCCCCAAACCCGACAGCCCTGAAACTTGACTAAATCCCATAACACCCCCTAAACTCCAAAAAACTAAACCTTGAAATAGCCCCCAAACCCTATTGCACAAAACCCTATATAATCCGCCCTATCTAACACTAAAACCCGAATAAGACCTAAAACCCTAAACTTGAAAACCTTACCTCCCTAAACGCTAGAACCCGAAACCTTCTACACCCCAAACCCTAGAACCCTAAACCCCATAAACCCTAAACCTTAGACCCCAAACACTAAACCTTGAAGCGCAAAACCGCAAACACTAAACCCTAGAAGCCTAATCCTATAAGCCCTAAACCTTAAATCAAACCCTCAACCTTATAAGCCCTAAATCCTGAAGCCCTGAAACCTGATTAAACCCTGCAACGCCCTAAGCCGAAAAAAACTAAAACCTTGAAATAGCCCCCCTAAGCCCTATTCTCATCCCTAAAGCCTCCACCCCCCAACCCCTAAAACCCCAGCCCTGTATTCCCTTCACCCTTGGGTTTTGGGCCCCTCTTTTCAGATCCCTAAGGGAATTCCAATGCCACTTTAAGAGTTTTGCTAAGGGAACCTTTAGGGTACAACCTTAGGGGTACGAGTCTTCATCCCTTGATATAAGCCCAAACCCTAAACGCCCTCAAACCTGGCTGAACCCTGGAACACCCTAAACCCTAAAAACTAGACCTTGAAATAACCCCCTAGAAGACTGAAAACCCTAAAGCCCTAAACCCCAAACCCGAATCCCGGTAAACCCTGACCCTTAAACCCTACACCCCAACCCCAAAAACACTAAGCCCTAAAACACCAACCCGTCACTCCACCTCACTCCCCCGACCCTAAGCCCTCAATCTAAACCCTGACCTTAAAACCCTAATCCAATATTCGCCCAAACCCTAAAGCCCGGAAACCTGACCAATCCCTGCAACACCCCAAGCCCTAAACACAGAAAGACTATTTTACTTCGAACATCCCCACCCTCTTTGGGCAGAGATACTCTGGGGTTGGGCACTCCAGGGACACTCTGAGGCTGGGCATGCCAGGGGGTGGGTTGGGCAAGGAACGCTCTCTCCAGGGACAATCTGGGTTGGGCACTCCAAGGCTCTCTGGGGTTGAGCACTCCAGCAACACTCTCTCCAGGGGTTGGCCACTCCAGGGACACTCTGGGGCTCGAGGAAAAACCAGGATGGACCGAGTCTGAAAGCCAAAAAGACCGAGACAGAAAACAAAGCAGCACGCGTCAGAAAGCAGCCTCATAGGCCCAGAGCAGGAGCGCAAGACATGGGCTCTACAACTCTGAAACTTTTGAAGCCCAAACCCCAAACCCCAAGCACCAAACCGTAAACCACAAAACCCTGAAACCCTAAAACCCAGCCCTGAACTCTAAACTGTAGCACTGCCGAGATCAGAAGCTTTTGGACTTCGAAGGTATTCTCTAAGGCCCCAAACCCTAAACCCTGAAACCCTTTATATACACCCTAGCACATCCGAGATCACGAGCTTTCAGGACTGCTAGACCCTAAACACTAAACGCTAAAACTCAAAACCCGAAAACACTAAACCCTAAAACTCTAAACCTAAAACCCTTACCCTATACGCCCTAAACCCTAACTGAACCGTAATAACAACACCCTAAACCCTAAAAAGATAAGCCTTTTCCATAAACCTGATAATGAAACCTTATAAACCCTAAACCTCCGCCCGAAAACGCTAAACCCTAACCCTAAAAACATTGGCCCTATACAAAAGCTAACCGTCTAAGCCCTACATACCCCCAAAAGACCTGCCTCTCACATACTTGCTCCTCTTTTCACATATGCATCTGTCTAGTACTCTGCTTAAGGCCTGTTGAAAACACCGGCATTGCCGTTTCTTCTCGCATTCGTCAGAAGCAATGTTTGCCTCTGCCGGCATAAACATCTTGTGCGCCACGGCTTTACTTGGCTGACAGGATTACGGTTTGCGATCCTACGAGAATTCAACACGAGTATTGTGGTACTTACAGCATTTTCAGCTCTAGGGCCGCAGCGCCCCCAGCGAGAGGCGCACCGAATCCGACTGCACCGCCACAAAAGCCTCTCAGGCATCTCCGTCATCGGACTCTATAGAAGCTCAAGCAAATGGAAGCGGCAAGCAGAAAGCTGAGGGCGTGACTGTGTGGAACTTGGGGAACCTGAAAGCTCCGTCAAAATGTCAAAAAGACTGGTGGCATATGGCGCCCTGCACTATGCGGGCGTGAAGCTTGAGCTTGAGACCCCTAAATTTTGAGAGCATTTGTGCTTGGGAACTTCCTGAATCTCTGCATGATTATACACCTCGATGGGAGGTCAGAAATCGTTCAGCAGGTAGTCATAGTGATGGGAGAGCAGGGTTTGCGCATGTTTGCGCACACGTCTACTTGGCTTGCCTTGGAGCTCTGACCTGCCACCTACACACCGGCAACACCCACAAAACATGTAGTTCGGCACCTCAAGTTGACCTGACATTCAACATGTTGCATAACACTGCGTTATGGGAATGTTGGAGCCGAGGGCATCTTGCAATTGGGCCGCCCACAATCTGGTCAACTGAGAATTGAACAGCTTGGCCAGCCGCACCAAGCGCAAGATCCGAAGGATCTTTAGGCCACGCGACCTCGGAACCGTCACAGAACTTTACCCCTGTTGGCCTGTTTTTTAAGCTTCACGTCGTCAGTGTGGACCGTATCAGCAGGAGCAGAAAGAGGTTTCCAAATCCGGTAGCGAACTCCGAGCGTCCTAAGTTCTAAGCGTGTGGATGTTCTCGTGTCGCCATCAAGGCTTGAAAACTGTTGTTGAATTGGAGGACAGACTGACTGACTACTCATTACAGTTACACAAGAACGCGGAATGGCTCCATACGTCTACGAAGCTAGGAGCAATGAACACTAGTCGCAATGTGTCGCAACGAATGTGAATCGGAACTCGTCGAAAAACGCCCGTGTCAAACTCCCTGCTCTCGCGCAAACTATGACAGCTGAAGGCCGCGGCATTCGCATTATTCCTTAGCACGGCACCAGGTTGATTGGATGCTGCTGCTAAGGAAAGATTGCCGTCTGTTTGCCTTACTTCAGTGCCTGAAGCTTTGACGCAGGCGCAAAATCCCTGACAGCAAAACATCAACACAGGTGTTTATTGATGTATCTGCTGCAGACCGCAAATTCACTCATTTGCACTCTCATGTCACAATGAAGGTCGCAATGTCCAGCAGAGAGTCTCAGGTAGTTGTTGCTCGCCTGTCATGACTCGTGACAAACAAGTCTGGCAGCTATGCGAACTTCCAACATCTCCCAACACTCAATGACGATCTTGCTAATTAGTATAATTAACTCCAGGACGAAACGGTCGGGGACAAGTGGAAACCAGTGCCGGTGGTACTCCCTCATCACCGCCATTGTCGCTGCCGAATGCCGCATCCAAAGCTAGGAAGCACCAATCCAACGTCAAAACCTTGCTCGTCACTAGCAACGCATGCAAAAGCATGCATGCATGATCATGCATGACGCAGCAGCATACCCCTCCAGCAATTCCAACGATGCCAACCCACTCTCAAGCGCACGTGTTTCTGCACGCCCCCAAAAGAAAAGGCAGAGTCGGAAACGACTGGCCATGGGAATTCTTTATTTGAAAGCCCTCTTCGATTAAACACCCCCCGTTGCTCCTCAGGTCCAGTGTTTACGGGTGCGCGTGACAAAGGCAATTCCCAATAACCAGAACATAAATCGCTCGCAATAGTCCGTACATGCTGCGGAGGTTTGCCAGGGACCCTTCAGCAACGGTGACCCCGACCAAGCAACAAGGCGTCCACACGACAACCTTCAACAGAGGGGACTACAGAAACGGCCCCGGGCTTGAGGATTCTGGTGAGGATTTTGGCTTTCGGTTTTCGGTCAGTCTGAATCAGTACCTGCGAACCGCGGAATGCTGCACATTGGCTGCAATGCATTGCAGAACCGAGGCAGACGCACTGATGTCAATGGCAAACCACGTCCTTCGCAACAATTGCAACAAGGCTAATCTCCGATAGTGTCTCCGAAAGTGAGTGAGACAAAGCCAGCATAAGCATACGCAGAGAATTAAGGCCCAATAGAAATCCTTTACGCCGGGTATGAGCCGCTGCGTATCAGGCCATGAGTTGGTTTGTCGGTGCATTGATATTGTTGATGCAGGCATGCGAAGATCGGGGGGACCGCACGGCTCATGGTTCGTCCCTACGCCGGTGCTCTGGTACTGCCAGGTCGCACCGATACGCGGCCATGCCGATAAGCATGTCGGACACTGCGTTTGGCCACCCAGGTGGCATGACGTGACATTCAACCGAGTCCTGAGGTACTGCACTGCAATTGCCCAAGGATCCAGGACCACATGCCCTGCGCGATAGAAGCCTCAGAAGATCTTCGAAAGCGGGCGGTGCAATTGATAACCAACTGTTGCCTACAGCCACTGATTTCGAGCAATTTTTTTGTCACCCTGACGGCGGCAGTATGTCCATCGCTTCCATAAACTTGCGACTGTGCCGTTGTCGCAGTGGCGCCAGCCCAGGCACTTCCTGAGATTTCAGGGGGCTCAACGTGGCTCCTCTGTTTGCTCGGCTTTGCCCTCCATGACCCGGAACTCGGCCCCAGAGCGCGCGTAAAGGAGGTCAAATGGTCAAACCGTGAGCATGTGTGAACATGTGTGAACATGTGTGAACATGTGTGAACACGTGTGAACATGTGTGAACATGTGTGAACATATGTGAGCATGATGACATATGACTGACCGCCAGGTCCCAGGCCATCGCCACATTGGCCCAGGGGCAGAGCACTGCTAACACCTCTTACACCGCAAAGATTGCCAACCCCCGACTCATCCAAGCGCTAGAGAAAGAGATGCTGCTGGGAACAGCTGGGCCATGGTGCTCCAGCGCGGGGGAACTTCGGACTTTTTTGCTCCATTGTTTAATGTGGGGATACTAACGGCGCGACACAGCTTCCCGCCATCGCAATGAATCCCAGGCCCAGGCCCAGCCTCTGTGTGAGAAAAGCTTGCTCGGGAAAGAGCTGATCCCACGGAAGGGATAAGCGCAAGCTGCATCTCCTGGTTCTCCTGGCAGCGCCACACTGGACATGATTCGCCCTGCAGTGCCAACACAACAAGACGCGCAGGTTCAACTGAGAGCAGACCAGGGGACGACAGGATCAGGAGGGCAGGAGACCGGGCGGCCCCCGAAAAAAGAAGCAAAACAACAATGGCAGAAAAATGCGCCCTCCCATCACAACTCCCAACAGCGTGTTGCACCCGTCTCAAGCTTCGAGAGAACAAGATCGCTGAGTGTGTTTTCTGCAGCTCCAACACACGCAACGTCAACCGTTGCCTATGAAGGGTGACGGCTGTTGCACGTGGGCAATGGCAGAGGATTGCAATTAGGCTTGGGCATTTGGCATGACCGGCTGTGCCGCATGGCCTGAGGAGTTTGGTCGAGTGATTCCATGTGACTCCTGCTTCATCGGCCTTTGGCTGGCCACCCGACAGCTGAACCCTTCAAAAAACCACGAAGTTTCATGAAGCTAGCCATAGATCAGATTGTGCTTGACAGATCGTGTCGACTGCATGTCCATTACTTGACCCACAAGCGATCGCACCTCTTCATGCAGACGCAGCTGAACAAGGGCAGCTGCTTGCAGCAGGCGGTCAGCGGCCGCTTCACCTACGAATCGAGCGCACCTCGGCTAGAAACAGACCATACTCAAAAAGCAAAAAGCAGCACTGCGCCAGTGTCAAGCCTGTGAAGCAAGAACTTGACAAAGCCATGAAAACAGCAAATGATGTCGACAATCGACATGTTGCAAGGAACGGACTTAGCTCACAGTTGGCTAAAATGCACACATCGGACGCTCCTTGCGGAGATTGCACATCAGTGTCAGAAATGTCAATTCGTGAGGGCTCAAAAAAAAAACCGCGATACCTGGCGGACCTTGGTGTTTTAGAAAGTTTTTACAACAATTTTGAGTGCCAGTATATCCCGAAGGATACGCTTGGTTTCATTGTTGTCACTTGGAAGGCTCAACACCAAGCCGTCTCACGGAAGCTTGTGCTACAAATCAATGAACATCCAAACGGCTCACAGAAACGTCGATTCCAGAACTATGCTGGTGTCGGCTCAGGGAAACATGGATTCCGGTAACCAATAAAAAGGTCGCCCGCTCACGGAAACATCGATTTCAGAACTAAGTTTTGAACTACAAACTAATGAAAATCCCGCCGACTCACGGAAACGTCGATTCCAGTACTAAGCTTGTACGAGAAAGCAACGAAAATCCAGGCGGCTCCGAGAAACGTCGATTCCAGTGGTATGCATCGCCACAATGAACCAGTTTCGGTCGATTGCCCTGCCCAATGTGGACGCTCCCACCAATTGAAAATCAAAGCCTTTCAAAAATTCGATACAGATGCCTTCGGCGTGATTCCGCACCAATGTGGACGCTTCCCGATGCTCATCTCTACCAGGCCATGCGAGACAAAGCTACCACCCAGTAGCCCTGCACCCAGCAGCCGCATTGTGTTCGCGCATTTGAGCCGCCCATGCGTGGTCTGATCTGAACTTTGGAAGCCACCGAAAACACCCTGACCCCTTGTGTTATGCGCTGAGATGGAGTAAGCAAGGCTCGGGTTCATGTTTGCTGCTTGCTGCTTGCAATGCTAAATAGGGTCGGGCTGAGAAGCTTAGGAAAAGACACCATGCCTCTAAGAGTTGGAGACCTGGCTCAAAGCCGGATCTCTGAAACGCCTCTCTCCCCCTACTGACGAGCCATGCCACATCGGCATTGACCTCCTACCACCCTCGCTGTAAGGCTGCTTATGACTGCATTCTACAGATCTCACATACAACATTTGAATCCAAGTCCGTCCAAGCCGCGCCGCGGTTATCTCGTTACCATCAGTGAGTTGCTGCATCAAGTCCTCCGCAAGGTTTTCACTGTTGTCAGCCTTCTTGACCTTGCAGGAATGGTGGTGACAGATGGCATGAACATCATGAACATACCAGTCATGCAACACATGCTTGAAAATGACAAGCCGGGAGACCATGACAACGGTGTCTTCACTGACCATTGGCGGCTCTAACAAGCGTCCCACTTGGCCACCTGAACTCCACAAAGATTCCCAACAGAGGAAGAAGGTGAACATTTCACGGATCCGGTTTGGCTCGCTTCGAATTCTTGTGCGATCTTGTGCGTCACCCTACAGCACAGGTGTCATCTCGCCGCTGGTGTTCGAGCCGCTCAAAGCAACTGACCCACGTATCCCGCTCTGACCATCGCAGTTCCCACAGGAAGATGCATGCAGTACGTCAACAAAACACATGCACACCATGTACGTAGCAGCAACCTTAAGAGCTGCATAATTCTCCCATGTTCTCCCTCTGAGACAGTCCACGCAGCAGGCATGGCGCATCAGGCCGGATTGGATCGTAGCGATCCAGTCGCAGGCCCAATAAGCCGAAACCTGCAACCAAGAGCACTCGGACAGGAAAGAGCATGAGCAGACGACACACAAGCTGCGGTCAGGTTGAGGCTCACAGCTCATTAAGAGCATGAACAACTCCAGCCTGGCAGAAAACCAGTGGACTTTTGTAGATCTGCAGATGACATAGCTACAGCGCGTAGCGTCTTCTCCAGCACCTTGCACCAACCCCTTCCGTAAGCTCACGCAGGGACAAATCGAAAATAGGATAAACTGTGGAGTCCAGTATATGCCCTCAACATCCCTGATAACATCCCAGATCATCCCAGACACCGACACTTGCCTACCTTGAATTCGCACAAGAGTGCACCTTGGTTCCGTGGGCCTCCAACGCCACCTGGACGACCAGTCATCGAACAGCAGGCACTTACATTACTGTACATGCCCGAGTAAGCTGATGCGTACCAAACCTTGGCCAGCGGCTTGAGTATGTTTTTTCAGGTGCTCTGTGAGGTCACGCGTGATGACGAACAGGCCAGTCCTGCTGTGCACCTGCAAAGGTTGGTTTTTGCCAGACTGCACACAGATTGCACATCGACACAACACACCGCCTGTGCAGCTTGGCCCCTTCGGAACCGTAGGCGTCGGTGGGAAAAAGGCGCATTCATGCGCATTCACATTCGCGATAAGAACACACGCTCCACGCAGGCTTGAGAAGAATTTTGCCCATAGCAGTCCGTAAATGGTGCCTTCAGTACTGGCGGCCGTCCAAGCACTCGCCGCATGGCAGCATCACTGGACCAGATTTCTAGAAGTTGCATAACGGCCGCATACGGCCGTCATATCTTCGACAAATACCGATGGTCTGAAAATGCACGGCATACGCGAAAGCCGAAACGAAATTGCACGTCGGCACTGCATGCCTGTTCGGGACTTTCGAGGGATCGTGAGCCAAAGCGCTGCAAAAGAAACTTTCCTTCAGCTTGAACCTGCGTGCAAACCCTCACGGAGCAAGAGCAAGGCAAAACGACTGAGATCTCTGCTATTGAAGAAATTTGTTGGAAGATCGATGGTCCAGAACACAGTGCTGGTCCAATCTTGGTACACACAGGCGCACGGTAGAGATCCACAATCGGCAGCTTTGAGTAGCTCGGCATCGTCTGCCTATCATGAAATTGTACTCAAAAACGTACTGCAAAATGGGGCTTCCTAGAACTAGGATACCCTTCTGGGAGGTCTTAACCCAAGGGAATATGGGGTATGTCAAGGGATTTTGGGAATGACCGAGATGATGTGAGAATATGAGTACACCCCTTATACCCCAAAATAGAATTTGCATCCCAAAAACAGGTACCCCTGGACCCTAACTTTCCTAAACCCTCAACGCCCAAAGGGTACAACTCCCCAAAGTGCTGGGAACCCCCCTAAACCCTAAACCCTAAACCCTAAACCCTAAACCCTAAACCCCTCCCCCCCGTATCGTAGCGCCACTACTCCGGAGCTTTGGGAGCCCTGCTGACCACCGTGAGCATGGCAACGTCCGCCAACCTGAAAAACCAAACCCTAAACCCTAAACCCTAAACCCTAAACCCTAAACCCTAAACCCTACACCCTAAACCCTAAACCCTAAACCCTAAACCCTAAACCCTAAACCCTAAACCCTAAACCCAACCGGTGCCACAGGATTGGGATAATTCAAGCATCAGGGCTCCGGGCACTACGGTTTTGGCATTTCGAGTTTGGCATTTCGGGGTAAGGGTTTAGGGGGGTTTAGGGCACTATTGGCGCAATGACAGGCTCGCAATGCCGGAGTCGGATTCGCACGACGAAACGGCGGAGGGGTTTATTGTCTTTTTTCCGAGCTGAGGCTTGCTTTTTGGTGCGGCTTGGCTTGGATCTGCCCCTTGCTTGGCAGCGTTGGTTTTTGCCGACGTGCGGCTTGGTTTTTGATGTGGCTTGGCTTGGTTGGTCTGGCTCGCACCGGGTTTTTGTGTTGCTCGCCCTGGGTTTTGGTGGCTTTTGCTTTCCGAGGTGCGGCTTGGTTTTGGCGAGGTTTGGCTTGGCTCCGTCTGGCCTCGCTTTGGTTTGACTTGGCTGCTGTCCCCGACCCCGCTCCCCTAATTAGAAACTCCGACAGGGTTTTTCGTCTTATGGGGAGTTCTTATCGTTTGGACGACCGCTCTAAGCCCTAGACCCTAAACACTTGAACCCTAAACCTAAACCCGAAAACAGCCTTTGGGGTCCAGGCTGAGGGTTTAGGCGGGCTTCTAGGTTTGATGCGCCTGAGATTTTGAAGGCGGCCACTGTCTCGCACGATGGGGCTTCATATGCTTGAACAGGGCCGCCCTCCATTTCCAAACACAATGCTCGTATGACTGTCCAGCATGGAAAAAAGGGGGGTTGGGGGGAGGGTGCTGCACAGCCTAAGAAAGCGGGAGGTTGGGGGGGGGGGGGGGGGGGCAGCCACCCTCATTTGCAAACACAATGCTCGCTCGATGGGTTTGGAAGGGGTTCAACGCGGCTCAAATACAGGCGGATAGTGGTGTCTTCCGTGATCTCATGCATGTCTTCGAACATTTTAATGTATTTGTTCAGGCATTGTTCTTTATCTCATCTTGTTGTTTTCCTTGCCTTTCTGCACTGATTTCTATGTTTCATTGTTTGTGTGTTTCTTTTCTGCATTTCCTTGTTGGTATTTTCATCGGATAAACACCACAGAGCCCAGCCGAGCCAAGCCGAGCCAAGCCGGACCGCACGAAAGAAGAACAAAACAGGAGCCGAGCCAAGCCGAGCCAAGCCCGGCCGAGCCAAGCCAAGCAGCCAAGCCATTCCGGCCAACCCAAGCCAAGCCGAGCCGAGCCACGCCAAGAGCCAAGCCGCACCGCAGAAAAACAGAAGCGCCGGGGGCTCTTCCGATTAACTTACTCTCCGCTGCGCCCACGAGAACCCTTTCGGTGCCATCTCACCCTTGCTTGCGGAACTTCGCATATGCCAAGCTGCTGCTCGAAAGCGGTCATGGGGATTGCAAATATGTCCTTGGCAGATGCCCTGACTGTTGGGCCCAAACTGCAAAAACTATCCCTCAGAACATAACTTCAGTCGATCTGGCATCTACCGATTGAAATGTCTGTCGGACAAGGCACCCATATGACCAGCATGAGACCGAAAAGGTCCCACATCATCCTTTTTCGAGAGTGTGGTCGAGTGACGACATGTTTCCTGACAAGGGCATCGGGCAGTAGTCAAAGGATGCTGATCCACACATGAGCAGCCCACCGCCAGAAGCTTTCCGTGAAAGGGTTTCGCCTTTCATCCTCTGCCTGCAGAAAGCATAGGACATCATAGGACATAGGAAACATGGCGAGGGTAACAAACCAATGAGAATGGCTCATGCGCGGAAGGCTACATCACGCAATTTGCATCCAGTAATCCCAATGACACATGACACAGCGCACCACAGTGACATCACATGGTAGGTCACAGCGCCTTGCTGCTATTCAGATCGGCTGTCAGCATGCGGGTCAAGGCAGCAGATGCCTCAGCCAGGGACAAGTGGACTGCTAAGCTCATCTAAGCTCACCCCAAAAGGCCCCGGAGAGGCCCCGGAGAGGGTTTCGGCCGCCCAGGGCCCCAGACTTGGTGAAGAGGAGGAGGAGGAGGGGTGGGGCGGGGGGAGTGCCTCTCGTCTTTCGGGCATGCTCTGCTTTCTTTCTTGGCGGCGCCACTCAGAAGCCGCTAAATTACGACATTGCGTCACACACACACACACACAACACGACACCACACAACATGAGCCGAAAAACCTTGGCGGGGCCAAACCTTTCACCTGAACCCTCCCTCCCAGCGCTCAACACTCAACCCGGCTAGGTTGAACAAAACCTTGAACTCTGCAAGCCCCGAGGCCCTCTACAGACCCTCCAGCGAGTGAAAGTCCCAAGCACAAAAACCCTCAAACCAGGCTCAAAACCGGAAACCCGAAGCCCAAACCCGAAACCAAAAGCTGTTATCTTAAGCCGCAGGAGCGCAATCCCAAAACCCCAGAGACCGAACTCCGCGTGTTCGAAATCTCGTGTGCTTACGATATCAAGCCCATTCAGAATCGACATTTGTTTTGCATCGGGCTTGTTCTGTTAAATACCATCTCCTCCAATTCCCCAGCGCCAGAATGCGCGCTTGTGTTGGGTAATGTATTTTCGGGTTTGGCGGATTTCTGACGATTGTGGCTCGAAATTTGGACTCCTATATCTCTCTGGCATGCTTCTGTAAGTAGACCTGGCTCTTTTTCTCTGCTGCTCACTCTCCTTGCACCCACAGCTATGGGGCAAGAAGAACCACGTGAGCCCGAGGTAAACGATCTGAATTGCTTGGTTCGCCAAGAACTCAATAACAACCTACTTGGAACAAATACAAATCGAAACATCATGAAAACTCACTGCATTTAACGGGTATTTGTCCTGATGCTCTGTTGCTCACTTCCCTTCCTTCCTAATGGCAGGTGATCAGGAAACCCGTGAACTTTAGTTACGATTCTTGTGTCTCCAATTTGAGATCAGCTCAGTTCACTCCTGCAAATGTGACTTGGGGCACGACATCTGGGTCACTGGGCCACTCCCGCAGCGCGAACTCTTTCAGCACCTCGGATCGGACTCCGTGATACATTGGGCGCGGTCGGCGCGGGATGAGATGAACAATGAAACTCTTGCGAGGGGCAAAGGCTGCGGGCTTTCTCCAAGGACTTATATTGTGACTGACTACAGAATCGCTGACATCGCCTCAAGCTCGTGCTCAGAGACATCGTCATCATCGTTGTCAGCATGGAACGTGTACCTTAGCTTGACACAGCAGGACCCGCAGAAAAAACGATGACCACAAGTTGTGCGTAAAAAATGAGCTGGACATCATCTGACAGGTGCAGCTTAAGCGTCTCTTTCCACGCTGCCAGCGTCAGGCGCAGGATGCCCTCATCCTTGCTGCCGCTGATCTTCTTTGCCTGTTTTGCCCGCGGGGCTGGCTCGATTTGTTACCCGTAGGAAGGACCATGCCGAGAGTGGCTCAGAGAGGGGCGCGCAGCCTTCGCCTCAGACTCTTCCGAGAGATGGTTCTCGGCGAGTGTGTTGTGGAGGCTCCTCTCAAGCTTGGCTTCACGTACATGCCGAGGCGTCCTTACGCGCAAAAGTCGCATCGCAGACACGTATTATGTACACCCCAAAGACCAGACTTCAAGCATCTCAATGCCTTTCACCAAGTTCTGAAAGTCTCCTCGGATCTGCCATTGACACCTTGGGAGCACAGCTCTGCCTCGCCAAGAAAAGAAGAGTCTTACCGTGCAAGAGCTCTTTGTCATGAGCTGCTGGGTCGCCCCCCCCATGTCTTAGGGAAAAAGTGTCTTGTAGGCTAGCAGGGAACACAAAGGCTTGCTTTGGCTTGCTGTCGAGTCAGCGCTAATGTTGCACATGGTCGTGGCCAGCGCAGGCACCTTGCGCGACTTCGAGCCTTGAAGGAGCAACGGATGGCAAGTGCATCTGTCTCGCAGCGCTGATAAGCGCTCACTTGGCTTCTTCCTAAGGATGCTGCCGAGTTGGTAGACTTTCGGCAAACCTCGACGGGACACGCTGGATATTTTTCTGGACCGTGGTCCTAGGGGTTGGCACCTGCTTTGGCGCAACAGTTGCACCGACTACAATGACTGGCATGCATCTCCTTGCAACATCTTGCAACTGAGATACGCTGCTGCGCTTCCTTGGAAGCACAGACGGATTGTCGCTGCCCTTGGTCACAGGGCCCATGCTCTGCTCTAACGTGAGCCATGATCCCAGTTGTACTCTTCACATAGGCGTATGCTAGGAAAGGCTGTATGTCCGAACAGACAGCACTATGGTCTGCAACACTTCGTGCGAGAATGTGAAGGATGCATGAAATCTGGAAGTGCGCCAGTGTTTGTGCAAGGAGATTGCTAATGCATCAGGGCTGACATGCGGGTATCCTTGCAAGAATCGGACTCCGCATGAAGGGTTGCACCAACTCTTGGAATCTTGTTGTGCATGCCTACCACTTACCTCAGTGCTGTTCTCCGAACTCCTGTCATTGCATCCCGGCTGCGGACACTTGGCGAGCACGAACCGGGTCTGCCTGAGTGAAATCAGATGCCCAGAAGGTTGCAGAATCCACTTTCCGGTTTTCATTTCATCGCCGCCTGACACATCAGCCATCTAATGTAGTCGAGCTCGGTTGCATTCAGGCTGCACAGAAGCTGAGCTTTGGCGGCAGCGCGTTGAAGGTCAGGCCTACAGCCTGATGGTATTTTGGGGTCGTTTGCGTAAGAGGATGAGGTGTGTTGTCGGATGGCAGTGGGCTTACGTTGGACGGCCAAAAATGCCAAAAACCAGCAGATGGCAGCCTGAGCTGCAAACTCCCTGCAGGCTAGACATGCGTCTACTTAGAGTCTACTTGCTACAACGAGTTGCGACACTAATTCTCCGAATACAGTAAGGGTCCCAGGTTGACAGCCTAGTTGTAGAAGCCCTGGAAGTTTTGTGTTGGGGTTGAGGGTTGAGACCTTAGCCCGAAAATCAAAAGCTTCGGCTCGGAACCCGAAAACCGGCTGAAACCTGCGCAGCCCTCGCAGCCCTCGAAGCTTAACCCGCGCCCCTGACCAATTCCGGTCGGGTCGAGGATGGTCGAGGATTGGGACATGGGGGGGAACGGTTGTATATTTGGGGGTGCGGAGGCAAGTCATGATTGAGCTCCTCCTTGAACTGATCCGGCTCCTCGATTGATTGGTCCAGGCCTTCGGCCCTGCCAGACAGATCGAACCACAGGTACATGTGAAAGTTGAGACGTGCATCGTTCTGGCCTTGAACGCGGGCGACCAGCGCCAACACTGCGCTCATGCCTTATTGAGCATCTACGAAAACGCGAGTAATTCTGAGTAGTTGCAAGAATCTTCTTTACAAAAGCAAGCAGCAGCCTACATTCATGCAAGCATCGCTTCCAGAAGTGTCGCTTCAAGCTCGCTCAGGATCTGGGTCAACGAGTCCTTGAAGGAGTCGCGATTGCCGATACTGACCTCAAACTGGGGTGCCATGATGTGTCATGATGAGCCATGCTTGTCAGTCTTGTCATGCTTGTCCTCGTGAAACAAACATGTGCTGCAGCTCTGAGGCCCGCTCTCTTGAAGACAGGGACCTTCAGCACACTGCACGTGGGCACTCATCACATCTCATGACGAAACCATGCTTCAACATTGGTCGGGTGCCTGATCTCATGAGACCCAGTGCCCCAGCTGTGTGGGCTGTCAGACCGAAGCAACGACATAGCAGTCGCGCCGAGCGTCTCTGAAATTATGTTGTTGGTTGATTTGGATTTGCATGTGTTAGTACATGTCAATAGCGTGCCGGGCTTGCCGTAAGACTCCTCAAACAAGCCGAACTTCTTGGCCTTTGTTTCCGTAAACTAGCAGATCCATCTTTGGATACATTTGACATATTGCCTGCAACCCTGCAGGTCTCACAACTTTCAGCTTCTCATGTGTCCTCCCTATATGAGCCCCGAAGCCTGCTGCGAAAATCGGCCTCAAGCATGCTCTTGCGCTGGTTGATTCGATGTTCGGTCAAAAGTTTACCAACTCCCGATGGGAGAAATACATAATTACATAATGTAAGGTGACGTAAGGTCACATGCTTGACATGTTTTGGCCGGTCTGTGCTTGGTGATTGCAAATTGTGGCCTGGCTTGCGTTTGCAAGTGGCCAAGTTGCGCAACGCATGCAAAGGTGACCAATTGATCCAATTGCATGTGAAGGGAAAACTATACAAACTACCAGGCTGTTCCAGGACTGTTCAGAGGCTCCGCACAGGCAGCCTCCTGCAGGATTGAGTCAATCTCAAACCGAGTCACTGCGAATCTCAAACCGAGATGCATCGAATCGACACACACATTCACCATCCTAGCCTCTGCGAAGGCAACAGGGAGACCTTCCATCAGAAATCGAACTAAACATCGAGGCATGACCATCGTTGAGCCAGGCTAGGAGCGGACTGAGGCATGTTTGACGGAAATCAATGACAGCTGTGCTTTGATGACTTCGGTGGACTCGCACCATGTCGCACCTCCTGGCAGGTATCACAAGGTGGACCTGAGATGGGGACGGAGCAGGAGAGAAACCAGAAGTTGAACCGGAGGCGTATCATTCGACGCCATAGTGACAAGGAACCGAGCTGTGCTGAGTCACACACCGAGCCAGCAGCACGCCGGATCTTCCCCACGCAGCCTAGACAAGGAATATCATCTAAAATGCTGATGCTACAGCCGAGCGAAGCATTCAACCCAGCACTCCCCCAACGTGATGTCAATGTGTTTTTTCCAGGACCTCCGCAGATTGATCGAAACCACGTCAGACTTACCTGCGCATCCTGTGACTATGATGCCCGTGTCTTGCTCAGTCTTGCTCCCATTCCTTTGGGGAGCTTGTCGACTGGGCAGGGGGTTGCATTAACTTATGGGCTCGGACAAAAGCTCCAGAAGTGCTGCTCCTTGCACAAGACAAAAGGTTTGGATCCTCGCACCGGAACTTCAATCCAGTGTCCGGATCAATGCACCCAAAGCGTCATAGCCCAGCGGTTGCCAGACAGAGAAGGGGCCACCGCATGCCTTTGTGCATCTCTGTGCATCTTTGTTCCCATGTTGCCCGTTTGTATCCTAGATGCAAGAGTGCAAGAGACGACCCGCAACCTTAAAGTGCCGAGCAGCCAGACCCTTCGGCTGTCAAACACCACCACGGTGCCGGCCTCAGCTCCAGATGCCTTTTTGGCTCTGTGCGCCAGCTTTCTCTTGGGCCCGGCCTTGGGTTCCACGCTCTGGAAGCGCCTCTCAAGGAACAGATTGCAGAATCGATGAATGGAACCGAGATTGAACAAAGAGTGGACTTAAAGAGAGAGAGAGAGAGAGAGAGAGAGAGAGTTCAAGAGAGGAGACAATGAACGACATATCTTCCCGCCTTGGGTCTGGCCGCGTGTCACCAGCGTGGAGGCGCAGCTCGCCGCCGTGCCCCTCTTGCCAATCCTTGGAATGCATTAAAGGTATTAACATAGCACGTGCCTCAAGCGTTTCGAGCATCACGACTTCGCGTAACTTCTCATACTGACCACACAGGAGGTTGAATATCTCGTGTTGCCGGGGAAAAGGGGGGGGCACTCCTGGGTTTCGTGGGGTGGCCTTCGTATGGTGGGTTTTCCAGCAGTTCTCTCACGGGGAGTCGTTAAGTTCAGTCTCGCCGGCCCCGCCCGTGGGCATCGGAGGTTCGGTAAGGAAACACCCAATGTAGTCAGAAGTAGGCCCATCGAAGCAAATCACAGGCAAGATTGATTTGAAGGAAGGCATTCCAGTGAACACGCCTTTGACAGTGAGCAGCAGGCTAGGGATCGGTTTCGGAGAGGGCTCTGGGATGGCAGCTCCGGATCAATGGTCACAACATCTTTTGTGGTGTCCAAGGATCATGGGGGGGGGAACATCTGGACTGGCAAACTTGTCTCTCTTGAATCTGGGAATGATCTGGGACCGTGGCACTCCAGGGACCGTTTGGGGTGGGCGGTCACTGCAGAGAACCTACTTTAATACCTCATCCGAGAGAAGGCACGAGAGATCACGAGAGGGAACGCATATAGGAACTAGGTATTGTCCGACCCAGCCGGATTGCTGCGCGAAGGTTCTGACGCTCTCAGGAATGACTCTTCCGCACAGCATGATACAGCATGCACAAGCTTTCTTCTGGAAGTGGAGACTGAGTGGCATTCAAGTAGGCCAGGATGGTGAGCCGTCTTGTGGCCCCAGTCGCCGGGTCGTTGTCGGATGGTGCATATGAATCCTCTCCAGTCACAGATTGAAGTCAAAATGGCAGGCGCTTGCATGCACTTTTGCTCACATCATGGCACAAAGGAGCCCGGAACAAGCCAGCTTCGTTCCGCAACGATTCCTTGTGCAACGCGTATTGAGCCGCTTGTTCCGGGTAGACGGCGATCCTGGTCAAGAGCCCAGTCATTCACAAGCCCATGCCCACATGTGTCCCGACTTGGCCTACCTTAGACCCCGTACCCTAGAATCTCCTTTCTTTCTGCTCGTAGCACAGCACAGCAAAGGCACGGCTTGTAAAGGCAAATCCAAGTGGCACGAACTGCTTGCATCTAACAGACTCTGACAACCATACAGCATGCATTATCCGCCAGGCATCATCGCCGCGGGATGAACTTTGAGGGCCTCGCACGGACAGAAGGCCGCCGTTGGTGTGTTTTGTTTGGTTGTTTGTGTTGGGTGTGTTGTGTTGTGTTGTGTGGTTGCTGTGTTTTGGTTGTTTTGTTGTGTTGTACTTTGTTTGTTGCTTTTGGTTGCTTGGTTTGTTGGTTGATTGAATGCTTGAGTGTTTGACTGCTGGCCTGTTTGATTGGTAGTTTGATTGCGTGACTCGTTGATTGCTTGATTGTTTGGCTGTTCGATGGTCGAGCTGAGTTTTCCAACTACAAGTACTAAGTACACAGTATATACCTGGAAAACACTTCTTTAACAAGTAGTTCACCTTGCCACCTTGCCTGATGCTGCTCGAGCGACGGCTTTGCTGACCGCTTTTTGGATTTACCCGCGCTCAGGCTGGACGCTTTTGCAGGCTCGGCATCCAGGTTAGCGTTCGCCCCCCCTCCCCCTCAATTTCAAAGGCGTGGTGGCAGGGTGGGGAGCGGCGAGATGGGCAAATTTCCTCTGAACCGCGCTGTTTCCCGAATCATGCAGCTTCCTGAAATGCATCGCATGATTTCCTGAACTGAATCGGGGAGCTTCTTGAATCGCCTGGTTTCCTGAATGCTCAACATGCCTGAATCGGTTTCCTAAATCGCGGCTTTTTTCTGCCGATATGGTTTGCTTTCTTGTTTTTTCGTGGGGCCGGCTCGTGCATTTTTCTGATCTGGGTGGTTTCCCGACCATAGATAGACTTGGCTGGGGATTGCCGCGGACATGCCAAGCCTTTTACGTGGGGGAGGGGCTCTAATGAGTTGCGGCTGGCACGTTCTTCACAAACTTCACAGCTGCCGCAATGAAGAAATAAGTAAAAGTGACAGTAAAATCAATTTTTAAAAAAGGAAAATTCGCCTCGGCTTCCTGCCGAGAAGCGTCTGGAACAAGCAGACCCGGATCGGGCCTCCTTCCCCCTATTCCACAAGGGAAGTGCCTCAAAAACCCCCACCCCCCACCCCCCCCCCCCCCCCACCCCCCCCCCCCCCCCACCCCCCCCGCAAACCCCCCCCCCCCCCCACCCCCCCCCCACCCCCCTCCTCCCTTTTTTTGCGAAACCCTCTTTCCTCCTTTCCTGTCCTGGGGCCGGCCCGGCTGCCGAGGCGGCGCGCGCAAGCGTTTACAATTAAAATGCAAAATTAAACGAAAACTAAAGCAAAAGTCAAGGTAAGGTAAAGGCAAAGTAATAGCAATACAGTCAAAAGCAAAGTACAAAGTAATCGTAAGGTAAAAGTAAGGCAAAAGTAATGGGAAAAGTGAAGAATAAGTAAGGAAAAATGACGTCTTAAAGTACATGAGCTTGCCTGCTTGCTTGCTTGCTTGTTTGGCTGGTTGCTAGTTTGTTCGGTTGTTGTTGGTTGTGTTTGCCGTTTGTTTGGCTGGTTGGTAGGCTGTTTGTTTGCAGCACTCAATTCAGAAACAAATTTGCTGCGAATCACAGTAAATCTCACATTGCTTGTTTGTCTGTTTGTTTGCCGAAGTCATCTGCAAAATGCTGCACGCATCTGCCTCACCGAAGCCTCCAAGTCCGTGCACGCGAGCAGGAAGTCCTGCCACACCCAAGAAATGCCAGCTCCGAACAAGTTCTCTGGAAACGAAGTGACTCGACCTGTCTAGAACTTGTGGTTCAGCTGGTCATTGAGTCAGGACTGAACCAGGCCACAACAATAAAAACAGCTGCGTCCTGCCAGCATGCGCCCAAGCCGGCTCAGTGCCGGGAGCCGCGCTTCCAGCTCCGCCAAGCCCTGCAAACGAAGCCCAAAACCGGAAACCGAACCCAGGGTTTATGGTTTAGGGTGTAGGGTTTAGGGCAAGTGGCTTGGAACGGTGCTGACACATCTGATTGAATCACGCGCGTTCATGGACCAAGAGGCTGCATGAGCTGGCATTTTGAGCTTCGGGATGTTCAAACGAATTTCAACGCTGAATCGTAGTTACGGTGCACTGCGTGCAAACCTGTGGGTCGAGGGGCTATGTGGGGGAAAGCAAAATTAGCTTCACATCTCGAAAGTTCCATGAGGTTCTCGACTTCGGGGTCGCTGCATGGCGGCCTCTGGGCCTCGTCTTATTTGCGCAGATTCTTCGCCTACTGTTGCACATTTTCTGCATCTGCAAGCAATCGCGGCATCGGGCCACGCCGGTGCGCGTGATCTGGGTGCGCCATGGTGCGCGGTGCACTTACTGTAGCCTGGGGGACGGCTGTATCGACTGATCTTGCCTCGCCTTTCGGAGCAAGGCGCCTCCACAAGTACTTTTAAATCAAAGCAGGTCGCAGACGGTCGCGCCTCGGCTTCCCCAAAGTCCAGCCATGCAGATCTGGACCTCAGCGAAGCACTTTTGCATTATTAGTTGCAAGCCGCCATGGCAGTTTTCAAGCCGTCTATAAGGGTAGGGGCGGCGTCGGGGAATGGAGTCGGACACTGTTTTGGATGCTTCGGCCTGAGCAAGCATCTGCAACAGGTATAGTGAAGACCACACCTGTTTCCAAGGCCTACGAATTCGACCTCCAGGCTCCGGGTTCAGGATGCCCCATGACCCAACACGTTTAGCCAACACCCGACAAGCATAGTTCCCGACACTGTCCGCCACGTCTTTTACCCCCAATCTAAACCATCTGCTGGCATTTTGAACGTTTTGAGCGTCTTGATTTGAAAGACGCTCAACTGAAAATCGAAGATCGAAGAACCCTAAAAGCTCGTGTGTCCATGAATCTCATTGGCGTGCAACCTTGTCCTCTTGATACTAGAAGTTAGATACGTCAGGTACTAGATGCCACATATTGGATTTCGTTTCGTGAGCTAGATGGCTGTAGAAAAGCTGTTCCATCTTGGATTCAGGCACTTAGAGATCTGAAGGTGAACAAGGAAGCTAATGAGGTATTGGAAGGCGAAAGACTCTGAATCTGCAGCCTGTATGCATGATTGTCTAGCACCTCAGCCAAGCACCCGCGATTGCAGCGGTTGGTCGTCACAGTGGTGGCCGAAGCATCCAACTTTTGGCACTCCTGCCCGCAACTCTCAGATCAATGTAGCACTGAGGCACGAAGTGCTTGGGAAGGATTGCTCTTAAGATAGAACAGGATCGCATTGAACTGAAGGCCTTCAATGCTCTGTTCGGTCCATGGGACTCAGGAGTCAACAAGCAACGATGGAATGGTGACAACGTCTGACAACTGCAGACTATGCTAGTTCCTGCCGGTTCCATGAGTTCTTCACCGCGAAACTGCCAAAACGGCAAGGCTCCTCCTTCGCATTCAAGGCAAGACTTTCGTCAAAGGCGCCGGGAAGAATCACAAAACCTTCGAGCAGGATCGCATTACGTCGCCTTGTCGCTCATATTTCGAAGTCAACATACTTTCAACACACTCCATGTGAACCATGCTGCGCAGGCAGGTACGGTGCCTTCGCGAAGCAGGGATGCCAGATCGGATTCACCGAAGACCCCGGAGGCCCATTCGTGCTGCCAAGCCGCTGCATCCTGCATCGACTCTATGCACACCGGTGCTTCAGAACCCCAGCATTATTGGTAAAAAATCTTGTTGCAAGCCGTATTGAGCAGCTCGTGTGGATAGGCTTTCAGCACAGTGCTGAACATCCGCCAAACCAGTAGCCCCAATACTTGCGACACTTGATTTGCCAGACTGCCAAACCCAATCCTGATAGCTGGGAAGCACTGTCGCCCGGCTCAAAACGGACAACGGTGCTGACGAAGCAGGTCGACACCTTCATCAGATCAATCTGCAAAGCACACGCCGCCCTGAGAAGCAGTCGGCATCATCCGGCCCAAGAACAGCAGCACAGGGGTTTTCTGCACAGCTATACAGGGAGCTGCCATGCAAGAACTTCTGAATTAGGGATGCATCCATGCCTGCACTACATAGGGTTGTGACCCTGCTTCCCAAGCCCAAGATTTACTCAATTTTGCTCATGGGCCTGGTGAGCTCCGACTCTCACTCCTTCATCTCGCGGTATCGGGAAATCTCCCAATTAGCATGATGCATAATTAAGGGAAAAGCTATACAGGATGCGTTCGAAAGTTAGGCCGTGCTTTTGCGATGCATCTGCGAGCGCAGCAACAGCTCAAACTTTTGGAGAGGTTCCAACAACCAGTTCGCCTCTTGCGTTGGCAGCCTATCAGGCTGAATGGCAGATAGCCGTGTCCTCAAGGTGACGACAGTGTCGACTAAGTCCTCCAGCTCTGACCTCGGGCTCTTCAAAAGCGAATGGTCCTGGCGTCCTCTGCAGGGGGTGGGCACTGAGAAGATCGGCAGCGCATTGGCGGGTCCGGGCGCTCGCATTGCGGGCCCTTTGCAGCTGGCGCTGGATTCACTGCTTCCGGCACTGATTTCGGGACTCCTAGCCTGCCCTGTGGCAGCAACAATCGTTGGGGAGACAGCACTGACTCCGGTAGAGCTTTGAGTAGATTGATCGGGAGGTGGGAACACAGGCTTTGGAGGAAGTGGCTGAATCACAGGTGTTGGACACCTGCCACATGTGCAAAAGAGCCGTCGCTTCAGAGGGCCTTGGCAACGTCCTCGGGCTCCCTCAGATGCACAGCGGACCTCAAGCTCCTCTTCATCTCGAGGGAACCGATGCAGGTCCGAGGCGGAGCGAACCTGGGCACCAACCAAACTGCCCCGAGCCCACTTCCCAAGCTCTGGGGTCGGATTTGTGGGATGTGACGAACTGTTCGGCTCGCTGCTGTTTGGCTTGTTGCTCTTCGGCTCACCGCCGGGCTGGCCGCCGGGCTGGCCGCCAGGCTCGCCGCCAGGCTCGCCATTCCCAAGCTCCCGGCTGCTTTCATCCAAGACAGCCGAGGCCTCAGCCTCAGCCCACCGCGGTGGAGGGGAAGAGGCCAACAAGCGGCGAAGCTCCCGCAGGCCATCGACGCGTGCCTTCGAGGCTCGAGAATTCTCTGGCTTTGTATTGCTTTGGACCTGTGACTTGACAGGTTCCTTTATGCGTCTCTCATCGCCCATGCTTGGCCTTGATGTCTTCGGCTGGCTTGCAGCACTAAGGCTGCCTGTAGCTGCAGTCACTGTTGCAAAGCTTCGAGCCGAGAGTGGGACTCGCTTGCGGGGCGCCAGGGCACTAGAGCTGGAGCGCACTGCCCCGCTACCACTGCGCCTGCCTCGTGGTGGGCTCCCACTGGCTGGCCGAAGCTTTGCAGCACCACCAGAAGCCACGCACGCGTCTCTAGGAGACGTGGCACGTCGCACTGCCTCTTCCTGTGGTGCCCGTTCGTTCGAGGCAGCACCTCGTACGATCTGTTTCTCCGGAGCCTTCCAGCTAAGTAGCGTACCATCTGTCCAACAAGCAATGATGTGATCACCCGGCAAAAAAGTGACACCTCTGGGTGGCTCCGCCTGGCCGGCTGCTAAGCGGGCAAGTGGTTGCAGGGAGCCTTCGACTCCAAACAGCAGAACTCCTGCTGCACCTCGGAGGATGGCGGCCAAGAACCTCCCGTCATTGCTCAGCTGAATTGGCCCAACAACCTCGACGTTGCTCCCGCCAACGCAAATCTCCTGCTTGCGGCGACCGTTTTGGTCCAGCTGCAGCAGACGCCGACTGTTGCAGGCAGCGTAGAAAAGGCCTCGGCTCGCGTCGGTGCATACTCCAACCCAGCGCGATCCCCGCGCAGCCTGCTGGCGTGCGCACTTGTGGACGGTGGTGAAGCTCTCCGTATACTCCGCTTCCCGCCAGATCAACTGATCAGATGTGCAAACGACTGCTCGAAATACCTCACTACCCGTGGGTGAGCTGCTTGAGGCCGACAGAAGAGCTACATGCTGTACTGGCGATGAATGATGCTGCAGGTTCAAGATGAGGCTCGCTCGACTGGATTCGATGCCACTGCTTCCTTGCTGAAGATCGATGCTGAAAACGAAAGCACTGCGGTCTTGCGAGACCGAAGCCAACAGAACAGGCCGAAGGGATGCAGGCTTCCAGTGGCCAAAGCTCAATCCCAACACCTCTGCTGAGTGCTTGCTTGGCATAAGTCCAACTTCACCTAGTCCATGGAGGGCTGCAAGCAGCCTCACCTCGCCATTGGCATGTCCACATGCAACAACCCAGGGCGAAACTGCCAGAGCTGTTAGCTCACAACCTGGAGTGGCGATGGGCTCGGTCTGCGCTTCCAATCGAAGGTCTCCGTGGAGCAGACGTGTCCAAAGCTGAACATTCCAGCAGGAATAGGACACAACCCGTGCTAGGATGTTTCCTGGCAGCGTGAGGGTGCCACGTAGGTCACACACCGCACCCGGCAGAGTCCAGGCCGCAGCGGCAGTGTCTGCAAAATAGGAGAGCGACCTGTCAGAATACAGGACCCATAGACCATCCATGAGAGGATGACTGGCAAGACCAACTGCGTCTGCCCGAGCACTGCAACCATCCAGCTTGAAGATTGTAGTCATACTCGATGCATCTAGCACGTCCACAACACCGCCTGGCAGCACAAATGCACCAGAAAACAGCACGCTTTTGCAAAGCCACAGGATGCGACAGGTGCACATTGCACAGCGCATTCACTTAGGGTTTGGTTGCTTTTGAGATTTCCCCGGATGCGTAGCAGAAGGTTTCCCGATTTAAGAGTTGGGGTTCCAAGAGCTCCAGGAGTTTAATCGAAAGGATTCGAGAGCCGAGCCCCAAAGGGCCGAATGACTTCCGAAAGACTTCCGAAACTTTTTGAGCTCGTGCCTTCGAGCCTTTTCATCGAGCTGTAGTTGCGGAAACCGGCAGAAAACAAACCCTGAAACCCTAGGGTCTTGGACTTTGCATGTCTCAAAACGTGCCGACAGTCACGAGGATGAGGTTTTTCAGGTGGAGAGGTGTAAGAGAGATGAGCGAGAGAGAGAACAACAAAAAGAGAGAGAGACACAGAGAGAGATTTTCAAAAAAATAAGGGCTGGGGGCTCGCGTTTGGGGGCTTCGCTTGGTGGCTCAATCCGGTGGCCCTGTGGCTGGTCCGTTCGGTGACTCAATCTGGTGTCTCGGTGGCTCGCTTGGTGGCTCAATCCGGCGGCTCGGTGGCTCGCCATTCGGTGGCTCAATTTGGGTGGCTCGGTGGCTCGCCCGGTCGCTGGCTCAGGCCATCGGTGGCGCGCCTGAAGTTTTGTAGGCATTTGGACAGGACTGTTTGGGGTCGTCGGTTCGATGACAAATTAAGTGGAAAATGTGCTGAATCACATTCCGTTTTTTGTTTGTCACCAGAACTCGAGAACCTCTCTGTGGGAAGCATGAGCAATCCCACCCCCTACAAGTAACAATGCTGTTGTACTACATCGTCGTCGTTAGAAGTAGTAGTAGTAGTAGTAGTAGTAGTAGTAGTAGTAGTAGTAGTAGTAGTAGTAGTAGTAGAAGAAGTAGTGGTAGTGGTAGTGGTCGTAGTCGTAGTAGTGGTCGTAGTCGTAGTAGTGGTAGTGGTAGTAGGAGTAGTAGTAGTAGTAGTAGTAGTAGTAGTAGTAGTAGTAGTAGTGGTGGTGGTGGTGGTGGTGGTGGTGGTGGTGGCGGTGGTCGTCGTGGTCGTCGTGGTCGTCGTGGTCGTCGTGGTCGTCGCGGTCGTCCTGGTCGTCGTGGTCGTCGTGGTCGTCGTGGTCGTCGTAACCGTACCAGCGAGTGAAATGGGCCAGAGCATCCATGCCCAAACGATGATTACGTCCATGTTTCCAGTGCGACTGGCTAGAGCATCCATGCCCGTACGGTGATTACGTCCATGCTAGCGGTAGTAGCAGTAGTAGCGGTACTAGCGGTAGTAGCGGCAGTAGTGGCAGTCGTGGTGGTAGTGGCCGTAGTGGTAGTAGTCGTAGTAGTAGTGGTAGTACGCGCGTAGTGCATATTTGAGGCTGCGTTGTCGTGCACGTCGCAGGCACAAAACACTGTACTTTGCCATACGAAATCCAAAACTCTTCACCCTGAACACTAACCCCTACAATACAACGCAAGGCCCTCATACGAAATCCAGGGCCCTCATAGGAAATCCAAGGCCCTCATCAGCCTGAACCCTCACGACCAGACCCACCCTCAACTTGAAGCCCAAAGCCCAAAGACGCAATGCCTAACTGAAGGTTTCCAGAACTCGGCGCTCCCCACAGAATTAGAAAACGTGCATAAATCATAAAACTCGAGTCTTGGGCATGTGAAGTAAGGAAAACCACGGCGTCAATCATACACTGCGCTCCTGGTAGTAGTGGCAGTCGTAGAAGAAGCAATACTAGTAGATACTAGCACTCTTGCTGGCACCATGCAAGAACTCAAAAGCCATGTTTAACATGTCCCATGTTGATCCCTCCGCAGCTTCCAGCCTGCCAGCGCACAGGCTAACACCTCAGGTGCACTGAGGCGCACATACTTGCTTAAGTTGTTTGTCAGTTTCAATGCTTTTAACTCTTGCTCATGTGCTCTGCAATCTCGAGACTTCCTCTAGAACGTGCAGCAAGCTCTGGAAGTTTCAAAGGTTCCGAGCTTTGCAACAGGGATTTGTCGTACGCATGTTGCTGAGGCACATCTGGGAGGTTCTGAGTGTCTATGCGTACACGTATAGGGCGTAGCCGAGCGACGCCACTGTCTGGAGCAGCACCAAGGAGACGCCGGGCCCATCGCAATGCTCCAACACGCCGGCCGAGATCTCGCCACAGTGGAGCCTGCCCGGCATCACGTGGGACAACACACCTAGAGACTCCAAAACCCCTTAATTAAGGAATATACCTTAAATTATAACAGGAACCCTAATATGATTTAAGGTATATTCCTTAATTAAGGGGTTTTGGAGTCTCTAGGGACAACACAAGGCAGCAGATGCAACGTTCGCCAGGGTCAGACTGCGCCTTGCTTGTGGATTCGCAGAAGGTGACGCCAAGGCCGCCATGCTTCGTCGCGAGGAAGAGTGCGCTCTCCACACCTCAGTGCGCACATCCGTTTTCATGCTGGGCAATGCAAAATCACTGGGCACGCAGGAGTGCCTAATGACCCGCAATAACCCGCAGCATTCTACCTCAACACTCCCCAGCAGAAATGCATGTTGGACGACGATTGACCCGCAAGTAAAATACGGATCAAACGATTTGGCCACTACGATCATAGTTGTTTCTACGGGTAGGATGTCAGAAGATGAGGGGCCAAATGCGACGGCAATAAGTGCATCTTCAGCTGGTCGCCTGCGACCTGCGGAGGCCGTGCCCGCAAGGTTCCGATTGCATGCAGCCAAAGCAGCAGGCCCTACTGGCCCGATTGGAAGGGAGCGCCCCAGCAATCGAAGTGGCAGAAAACCACCCCCGCAACTGATCTTGACTCCTCCAGCGGCCCTGCTAGCGATGGAATCATGTGAGCGAACCAGTGTCCACACTTTCGCGCCAAAAGCTCCCACTGTGAGGAACACTGCCCCATCCGGGGCGCCTGCCATGTCCTGGGTTCCCCGCCCACAAGTGGAGGTCGCGAGGCGCTCACCAGATGGCCAGGACCATACCATGAGCTGCTGTTCAGCAGTCATCGTGTGTTCACTCTCAAACTCTACAATCGCGGCGACTAGCTCACCCTGCGCTGCCCAGCACAGATGTCGTGCAGATCGGCGCACGCCCAAGGTCATCACAGCTGCGACCTCTTTGCTCTCGCCGCTGATGATGATGACTTGACCAGACCGTCCTCCAAAGCACGATTCCCCAATGGCCAACCATTTGCCACAGGGAGACCCAGCGATGCATGTGAGCGGCCTTGGACGGGGACCTACCTGTATTTGCTGATGGCTCTCGGCGCTGCTCTCGAATAAGCTGCCTCCACTGATGCTCAGCAGGGTACCACAAGCACCTGCCGCGAAGCAATGCCGCGAAGCGACAGCCTGCGGCTGCAACGTACAAGACGGAGCGTGAGCACCCGGCAGCGGGAGTTCATGCGCATCGTGCGGATGCTCTTCCCGGGCATACCGCGAGCGTGGGCACCCTCGTGGCGAGGGGGACCGGCGACCAGCGCGGTGCATGCCGCTGGCCATTACTACCCAAGCCTTCTCTGAATTAACATGGCCGCGAACCACACTCTGGATAGTGTTGCATGAAGCTTCTGAGAAGTCTCTGCACGTTGATCAGCGATGTGAACATCTTGAAGCCGTGGTGAAGGCAGCAGCGCGCCTTGATTCTGCGTGTGCACGGCAGGCGAGCAAGACCTCGCGAAGTCTTGCGAACATGTCTTTCATTTATTCTGAAATGCTTGCGAAACGTTGCCAAGACTCTGGGGCCGGGCTAAGTATCGGCTGTGTGCGTCACCATTGGCTGAATGCCAACGAGACACTTTTTCTTTCTCTGCAGCGAACCGCGCTGCCAACGCCCGAGCTCCAGTGCCTGGAGCAGAATTCTGCACCATCATTACACCATGCTAAGGTGCATTTGGCCACCCAGTGAGCAGAGAACTGTTGCCGCACTCGATGCAGATAACTCGTTGCCGGAGGCAGGACCTTCCATGTCGAGTTCTCGAGCAGCTCCAGCGCTGCGGCGCTGGAGCTCCGCCTCGCAGGCGATGGCCACAGCCTGCAGAGGAGACAAGATCACAAAGGAACTCATGGAACTCACAAAGCCACGACTAGCAGGCGCAAGGTCCTTCATCAGGTACTCTTAGGGCCTGGTGGTGAAGTCGCGCGCCGCGCCGTGCCGCGCTGCGCCGCGCCGTGCTGTGTCCGTCGTTCATCAAGAAACTGCACAAGGAGCCCTGTTGCACATCTGGGCGCAGGTTCAACCTCCCACAATGCCCCACCTTCCAAGCCATGGCTTCTTCACTTGCACCAATTCTGCCGGCCTCGGCTAAACATTGGCATGACATGGACTCGTTCACAGCTTGTCACAGCTTCATCGGCTTGTGAAGCGGCAGCCTCCAAGGAAAAGTGGCTAGAGGATGGAGTCCATGAAGCCAAAATCCCAAGCCCCCAACGGCGATGGGAACAGTTGGGAACCCGAAACCCGACAGCGAATGGGAGGCCCACAGCCGTAGGGCGGGGGAGGCGGGTAGGACGAGCGAGAGCCCATCAAACGTTGAAGGGGACAGGATTTGGGTAGGGCGGCCGACACGTAGCTTCCCCCTCCCGCTCCTGACCTCATACTACGCATGGTATTGCGACATGCTGTGACGGGATGGCGAAGCCAACCAGCATTTGTCATATTTGTCGCAGGAGAGAAGCAGGTGTTGTTGAGGCTCCCTCAATCGGAGTTTCTAGTCGCGTGTGAGCTGATCAGGCCAGAGCCAAGCATCAAGCAAAAACCTGCGACAGAAGAGCTGACTGCCAGCTTAAAGCATATAACGTGGCGACGCGGCTGAGAGCTCTGCACTGTCGGCTTCACATCCGCCAGCCAGCAGTAAGAGCAGCCTTTAGGGACAGCGGAAATGTCTCAGATCGATTGTTCTTCCAGTCACATGTGGTGACATGTGGTCACATGTCGCCCATGATAGCATCAGCTCACCTCTCGAAGGACTCATCGTCAGGGCCAGTGCGTGACAGGCGGACCTAGGCTTGAAAACACACGCCAAGCCTTCAGCAAACCGCAAGCAGCTACATGCCAACAATCGCCAACAGCTATGGATAGTATGCCCACAGAAATCTCGAAAACTGACTGAGAAGGTGCCTCCAGCGTCTGCCCGCTCGCTGCTGCCTCCTCATCGAGGTACTGTAGAAGGTCCAACGTGTAGGTGTCGTTGGCATTGTCCCTGCTGCAGCTGCCAGTTGCTTGTCGGAGGTTGTGCCCTTGCTGCTGACATTCCGCTGGTTGCACTGTTCAACATCCAAGCTCTCAAAGCTGCTCCCGAACCAAGATTTCGGGATAGAAGCACACCGACTTGAATGCCTGTACTAACCTCCTTCCAACACAGAAGTCGAGCATGTGCTACGAAGACCCCGCATACGCGCCTTTCAACAAACCCATAGAACTGAAGCAAGGTGTCGTTGCTCCGCTTCTCCCCATAGTTGATACAGACCTCCTCCCCGTCCTGCCAAGTGTTCAAGGCGCAACTTATTTTCCTCAGCAGGGTGGAAATACGTTGCCATGCCCTTTGAGACTGCATGTGCTCCAACATCGCCTTCTGACTGCTCAAAAACCCATCATGTTGTCTGGTAGACGCGATGCTTCTGAGGCAACTTCGACTCATGTAGAAAGAGTTCGTGCGCTTAGGGAGTTTTGTGGCTTGGCTTGGTTGACTTTGACATGGCTAGGGCTTGCGCCTTCAAAGAGAGAGTTGTCTCACAACAGTGAAAAGCCCTGCCGCCTGAAAGGTACCGTTCACCCGCACGGCAAACACGTTCCCGAAGTATTCATACGCAATGTCTGAAATGGCATTGCTGTCCTGACAGTGCTTTAAATCTTTGCTTCGCACTTGGTGCACAGCATTTCGATACGCTGTGCGATCTAGTACCAGGTCTTGAATCATTCTAAGTAAATATAAGTGCGGCCATTTCGAGGCATCTTGTCGTGATTCGAAGGATGGGCACCAGTACAGAATGCCTTGGCATGTCTCGCCGGGGTGCATGGTTGAGGTAATCCACCACTGGACAGACCACATGTCGCTTCAATTGGGAGGTCCTTGCACTGCATCACACTTTCAGGAGTATCGAAATGCTGCATCTCGGCACTCTTCTTGCAGCTCGGGAACTGTCCGACGAGAAAATCCTGCATGACACGCAGCATCACCAAAAGGAACTCCCTCGACGTCATTCAAGGCATTCAACGTAAAGGGATTGGATGGGCAACTGATGGGCATGCGTCCCTGCCGTCTCAAGACTTCCACGAAAAATGGGCAAGGCTCCTGCAAAGGAATCGCCAGCGCAACGGCCAGGGCACCGTTGAGGCTCGCCTCCAGCGACAGTGCCCCAGAGGCAGCGCCCACACCGGCCCTGAGAACAGAAAGAGAACGATCAAGCGAAGAAAAAACAGAGAACGTACGAAGCTCTGCGAAGAGCACGCGGAGAGCACCGCTCAAAGCGGTACAAAAAGATGGCGTACAGACAGCGAACACACTGTCTGAAGGATGTACAAGATGCAGGAGAACAATGGGAAAGATCTGCCACAACAAAGAACGTTGTGCCCGGGGCAACCACAGGGTTGCAGCAAATGCCAGCTGGACCAGCCGATCCTGCCATGGGACAGCGCTACAAAGCTCGGCTAAGAAAATCTTTAGAACCTCCGATCCCATGCACCTGGGCATTGCGCCCCTCGTAGGGCCCACTGAAGGCGCGGCTGCGGACCACTTGGACTGCCCACGTAAACTCGGCCTGGTACCGCAATGAATCAGTCACTGACCACCAGCAGCCTTGATAGTTAAACTTGCTAAACGGATCAATGGCAGCTTCTACTCAAGCAAGATACATTTTGTGTTTTCAGCATGGGCTTCATGAAAAAACGATCTACACCGACTGCCTTAGCCGTCCGGGAGTGCCAGGCATTGGTGTGCATGAAGTCACAGCTGAACAGTGCCAAGATGGAGCTTTTGGATGTTTAAGTGACCCTCATCGCCTTACCAGGCGGACGCCTGGCCTCCACCCACTTGCCACACAGTCACAGCACTTTGAGCAGTGCTTGCAGCTGGCCTCTTGGTGTCTGAAGGTTTTGTCTTCAGAGGCTTCGATTTGGGAGTCTCTTAGACTCTCCACTGCCTTTCTTGTTCTCTTGTCGGGCACTTAGGGCCACCAAAGGTTCCAATCTCATTGTTCCGATGCTAGCGCCGACGACGACAGCTCGCCCAAGCCAGCTTCTTCTGTTTCCCGGCTCTTTTGCTCCAGATGGAGCTGTAGCTGGCTGTGACATAGATCTGCTGACCGTGGACCCCATCGCTTGGATGCCACAGCAACCAACTTTCCTGCACGAGCCTGCTGTGGTTGCTGGCATCATTTGCCGCATCATGAGGCTAAGTAAGGAATGGGTTCCGTTTCATTTCGTGCTTCCGTACCTAGGGCAATGACCGGAGCCTCCTCCCCTCGTGCATCGTTTTCGTTCGAGCTCAAGGGACTCTCTCATTGGGGCAATCTTGAAGTTCATGAGATGTCTCTACAAGTCGGGATCATTCCTGCAGCAGACTCTGGAAGAGACTCTGTACCAAACAGGTGTCACGTCACAGCAGGGCCTCCGTGAAGTCCAGCGAGCACTTTTGCGCCTGTGCAAAGGCAACCTGGAGCTCGTGGCGCTGCTTCTGGATCCTTAAGCGATGCCACGCGGTGCCACTGATCCCACACGAGGCAAAAAGACGTGAGACGAGGCCTAGATACAGAATATGCCAGGAACGCTATGGATGGGATCAGGAGGATGGGATCAGGAAAGCCGGCCAGAGCCCGCAGATCAACTCGCTGAACGGCTCATTTCGTTGCATTTGGTCTTTCTCTCTTCTCAGAAGCTGGAATGGAAGAGGAGTGATACAGCGGAGAAGAGAGAGAGAGAGAGAGAGAGAGAGAGAGCGGAGAACACAACAAACCCCGTTCCTGTCATTCATACTCTTGGAAACAACTCGCGATTTTGACACGCCAGTCAAAAGGTGTACTACACTTGTACTACGCGGATACCAACGTTGTGTGGGGAAAAGTAGGTTGTACTACCACTTCGAAAAACACTACTTTGTTAACTCAATCGCGTGGCTGTCGAAGGATTGGTTGATACTCCAGGAGCTCCAGCTCCTCCTCTGTCCAGTTCATGGGAAGATCCTCAGTGACTTTTGAAGCTCGTCTGGTTGCTGGGCTAACCGCATTAGGGTCAAGCCCTTATCCATTCGATGCCCTTGGGATCTGCCCATAGCTATGTACTCATTCCATAACAGGTGAACAGTCACAGGAGCCCACCGGTGCCATCTCTGGGAGCTGCCAAGATATGGTTTAGTCCAAGCATCTGGGAAGTCTCGGGGCAAGCTGGCAGTCCATTCTTTCAGAAAAGAGTCTCCTGATTTTGCCTCCCAGGATTCCACAGCTCCGAGAGAAGACTGTAGACTGCGCACGACGCCTCTCGCAAGACCAACATGCCAAGTTGAGCCCACCAAGGCAGATTTTGCCAGTCCTTGGCTGCAAATTCAGCATGACAGGATCATGACAGGCAACATCTATGGAAAACAAGAACATGCTGGTCTGGCCTCCGTTGCTGCAAAATTCTCACCAGCAGGACAAGACCCACCAGTGGTGACCTGGTACAACGGATTAGGACGGCGCAACAAAGGGCAGGGAATGGCAGGGGACATGCTTCGCATGGCCTGGAGTGCCCGCTTGGACGGAACAGTGATGATGGCCTGCAACTCTGGGTTGACGCGTTGACCGCTCCCCAATTTGAGTTTAATGTCAAAAGCTTCAAAGGCTCCCAACACTCCACAGGCTCCATGCCTCGTCCATGTCGATACTAGATGTGGCGATCATCCTGAGAAGTCGCTTCTTTCCAAGTCAACCCCCGACTTTCGCACACTTCCGCACTCCAGGGGAGCTGAGGACAGCTCCCCCGCAAGTCATTGCCAAAGGTGTCTTTCAAAGAAGCGAGCTCCACCTGCAGCTCACTGCTGCTATGCGTGCACACGCATAACGACATTTGCAAAAGATACTGTGCAAGACTGGGGATACTTGCGGGGGCAAATGGTCTGCTTGGGCGAAGTGCGTGGCCTTGCGGCATTCTGCAGCCTAGGGTTTGCTGCTCGCGACCTTGTAACAAAAAGCTTGCGGAGCAAGCTGGACAAAGCCTACTAAGCGATCCCCGTTCTGAAGCTCGTTGCGGTGTGGTTCCGGTCAAGCGTGGCCCCATGCGAACTACGAGGTCCTTGACTCCCTCGGCACGTCGGCCGGAAATGAAAATTCTATGTTGCCGACTTATCTCACTCCTAAAAGCTGAGCGTGGCGAGGGAATCCGCGGTACATTCGACTCTGGCATGCTGCCGTGCACGGCGGTAGTCATGCTTCATAAGTGAACGTTAATGTTACAGTACATGCCGGTAACCCTGCCGATGGAAGACCAGCAGTGTCACAGCCTCATTCTCTCACGGAACATCTGGGCGACTCCCCACGTTCGAAATTGAGGATGGTACAACCGACAACAGACAACCGGCACAGTGTCATTGGCTGTGTCCCGCCTTGGGCGCCTCAATGCCAAGCTGCTCGGCCCAGCTCCGCCAGGCCCGACGTCGCACCTGAACACCGCGCCTGCACGCCACAGACGCCATGGACGCCGCTGCGGAGGCTGCGGAGGCGGCGGTCGTCAGCAAAGGCGCCTTGGCTCGGAGGCTCATGCTTCCATCGAGTTCCCAGCTCCCCAAGCCCAAGCCTCAAAGGGTGCTGGCTGCTGCCCTGGTTCCCAACGTGCATGCGTCTTGCGCGGCGCTGGTGGCCCATGGTGGCCAGGCTGCAGCGCAGTGGGCCCCAGCAAGGACGGGCTCCGGAGCATGGGGAATTCGAAAAGTTACTCCAAGCAGAAAACTTGAGGTTGCTTTTGCACATTACTTTTACGGCTGTTCGTGTCGTCATGTTTCATGCCGACATACGTATAACCTTCTCCGTTCTGTGACTATGTGCGTTTCAGTGAAGGACAGCCACTGGGACAACCCATGCGCCAACAAAGTTGACTATGATAATCACGGCTATTTGTCATTAGGGCAAGCGGTATTCATTGAACAACTATTATAACCGGGCTGTATTGTATCTTGCAACTAGGACTAACTATATTCATTAAACTACAAAAACAACGGTAACAAAAATTTTCGCTCAATTGGCCCACCGGTTGTCCCAGTAGCTGTCCTCCATTATCTTTCAATACTTCCTGGCTATGTTTATAAAAGCATAAGCTTAATTCGAGCCATAGCTGGCCTCCGATGATGTTAACGAAATAGTTAGGCTATCTACACGTGTAACTACCATTTATGATCAGAGCGCACCCGGTCTGCCCCTTCCCCCTCCATGGTAGGGGGGGCATTTTGGGCTTAGGGTTAAATGCTACGACACACCCAAGGGTATGACCGGGCGGCATGTCATGCGAAGGATTTTTCCCGTTTCCCACGCCATCCAACAACTTCTTACCACCCCGGCGGTGAGCTTTCACCGGCAAAGACCTCATCCAGGGAGGTGGGGGGAGTGGGCTGGTGGGGTGTTGACGGGGGCGGGTGCGGGGGCACCCCACCTGCCTGAAGCAAAGGTCCGGCAACAAATCCCCACCCTTTCATCTTCGTCATTCTTCAGCCCACAGCCCGATTGAAATATCAACGATTGGGAACTCCCAACCACGGACTGCCCAAATCCCATCATGTTGTGTATGTGCTCCCAGCAACCCTGCTGCATATAGACTGTCTTAGATCTATCACTTATACAAGAAGCCCTTGCTTCCGCAGAAATCCCATGCGTAGCTCTCGCCTGAATGCTCCGCAGGCTTCTTTCCAGCTTATTCCTATTTACGAATTCCTTTCCTATCTCCTGTTTCCCATTTCCCATTTCCCATCTCCTGTTCTATGTCTACTTTTATTGCTTCTGCGTCTACTTCTATTCCCATTTCCATTGCTATCTATATACTCCATTTGTTTTTGTTCATGTGAATAACATCCATATGATTCCATACAATTCCATATGACTTGACACAGTTCCTTTTGATTCCCTTGTATATGTATATGTATATAAATATGTATGATACTTCCGTATACGTGTCCATATGTCCGTGCTACTACCTGCCTCGTTCCATGAATACTATATTTCTAATTTCTATACTCGTATACTTACGTCGTACGTAATACTACACTCTGCATCCTGGGGCCGCAGCACATCGGTGCTCGTGATAACATGGAGCAGACGTTCCACATGTAGCAACATCTGCCATGTCCCCCAATCGCAACTTCAACTCTTGGACTGGCCTGGCATTCTGATAGCGGCGCATGGCATAGGTCCTCCTCTTCGAGACCAGAAGATCCGTACACTGCGTGGCAGACAGCCTCGTCGCAGATGAGACATGAGTGGAAGCAAATGAAGACGGAAGGGGTGGCAACAATTGGCAACATTAGCCTCATTAGCCTCAGCTCATCAGACATAGTCACACAGACAGTACTGTACTCAGAACGGAAGATCGTCAAGTGAACCAAGGTGTCAAGCCTGCCTTTCAAGAGCTGACGAACTCTCTCCATCAGCCATGCTCGCATCAGCGCCTCACTTTTGCTTGGCGCTGCACAATCCCTGCATGTGTTGGTATTGCCATTGCTAAAACACACGGAACCAACATATGCAAACATGACTTCTCCGCCTCGTGCAACGAGGTCATGCCACAATTTGTGGAGTTCGCGCTGCGTCTCCTAAAGGTTCTGAAAATTATGAATGGTTGCTCCGACTTTTCACCTAAGATGCGAACGCGGCAGACAGTCGCCCTAATGTACGCAGCCCTGTCCGGATGAAGGGTGGCTTTGGGAGCCGGTTCCGACAACCATGCCATGCTTGAATCCCGGTATCAACGCCGCGCTGAGCGCCGTCTTGCCTAGCGCTCACCTGTCCTGGGCCTGGGCTTGCATGTCATGAACATGGACTTTGACCACCACGTCCTCAAAACTTAAAACCCCAACAACCACCACTTGACGGGCAGGGCGAGGCTGACACATGAAAAGCAGTCACAACCCAGACTTTCGATGTAGACTGGAGAAAACTTGGTTGCAGCTGTGAGTACACCAGGTGTCATGGCAACGAGCTGGTCTTTCTGTGTGGAGGACTTTTGAGAGAGGGAAGGAGGGAGGGAGGAGAGAGAGAGCGAGCGAGAGAGAGCGCGAGGGATCACTCTCAAATATTGTCCTGAACGTCACGTGCAAGGTTCTGGCTGCGCATCGCGTAGCGGTGCGACTCCTGCCAGCTAAGCTTGCTGCCAATTAGTGAATGCAAACACAGCTAAGTGTGCTTTCTTCCTCTTTCCACCTGGTGCACGCTTTCTTAAACGAAGATCTTGCGCCTGCCAGAGGAGCTGCAAAGTCCCTGGGCCACCGCAACAAGGTAAACAAGTCGTGAGTTCATTACGCTCATGAGCCATGTTCGATCATGTTCGCATCCCCGAATGTACATGCAGCGTATTGCAGCGTCTGGTGCAGCTACGGAAGCGGAGAGCCATTCTTGTGTGCTGTAGTTGATGTGTGGCCCTGCCGTTCGCGATTGCAAAACAACTGCAAAAAAAGACACTCCGATACACAGTGACTAATCTTGCTTGAAAGGTTCGTGCAAGGATGTGAAGAGCCGTCTCGCAGCCCCTGCCGATGGAATTGATGTCTGCACCTTGCAACGAGGCTGAACACCCTCGTTATAGCTCAAAAAGGTCAAACAATTGAATCTGCTAAAGCATGCTGACAGCTACAGAAGGGTTCAGTGCTGCAATAGGAGCATTCTCAGTGCTTGCTCACTGCTGCGCAGATGTGCGCAGCACATCACGGCACCTGCAAGGAGAAGCGCGTCCAGCTTGGCTGTGGCGCCACGAAGGGACGATCGCCGACCACTCAATGCTGCGCGGCATGTGGCCCGCGCCTGGCTCAGACTCCGAAAGTGGGCTGCAGCAGTCCCAAAACACAACTTTCTACGTCCCTGTTCACTTCAAGTCTCCGCCGGACCCAGGTCACCACAGCTGGCTCCGGCAGCCACACGTTGAGCCGCGAGCAGCAAGCCGCCAACAGCTCCACGGTCTGGAGGTTGTAAAAGTGTTGTAAAGATGGGCTGACCACGCTCTAGAGGGAAAGGTGGTGGGTGGCCCACAATCCCTGACATCTAGACATGGTGTGACATGGTCTGACTATGTTGCAATTGATGGGAGGCGTTCCAACTTCTCAATTCTCACCATAGAACCTACCACCGTTGCCCAACCCGCTCCAATTTACCAGACTCGTTCCTGGAGAGCGCTGGCAATAGAGCAGGCTTGGGACAATCTCGGGCTGACACCTCTGGAGCCGCACCAATCTGAAGGGCCAGGTGAAGTGCAGGGGTTACCTGTGCATTCGAGGGGAACGCATTGCGAACCATTGCGAGCTGCCAAAAAGAACCGAGAAGCATCGGCTGAGGCCGCCAGGAGCCTCTCCGCCTCGACTAGGTCGCCCTCTGCAACCTCTCAGCAGTCTTAGCATCTCTGCGCACCCTTTGAGAACCAAGCTCTGGATTTGCTGGGCACCCTACAGCCAAGGCAAGCCTTTCACTCTCACCATCCGACAGCCGAAGAGCCGCGAGCCTTGTGACTCTACAACTGCGCGCAAGGATTTCCACCAAGTCGACACCATCCAAGAGCCAGGCACATCACGCATGCTCGATCCACCTCAGTTTGCAGTACTCGGCATACTTGGCGCGCCTTGCACCTCTCGTGACTCTCAAGGCCCGTACAGGTGAAGTCAGTGCCGAAAAACTCTCCAGACCTTGGAGTCTGAGGCACGCAAGCAGTCAGCGAAGTGCGCAATGCTGGCGAAGAATGTCTTACAAACTGTTCCACACGCGATGGAAAGGTCAACGTTATGCACCAAATAGATCCAAATAGCAGATTCCACACCGAAATATGCTTTATTCGTTGACAAAATTTCGAAGCCCACCTATACACGTTCCAGGCCAGGAGTTTATAGGACCTTTTCAGCCTCAGTTGTGGCCCAGATACGTGCGATTTAAAATGGAACTCGAAACCGAGCTCGAACCCGGAGGGACAAGGCTCTTGGGTCGAAGATCCAAGTCCGTAGGGGGAAAGCCTGCAACGCCACTCAAAACAGCAAGGATCAGTAAGGTAAAACATGCTTGTCCAAGGCCACCGGCGAAAACAAAGCGGTGGTGGCCATTGAAGCTTGCGCGTTGTCGACAATCGGAAATACAACAGCTGAAGTGCACAACATAACAGTCGGACCACCGGCAACGCACATGCTAAGCAACGGCCAATGGCATCAACGCAGAGGAGGCCCTGGTAGGCAGTACACACACACACACACACACATGTACTCATTCACGTGCATTGCTGCACCACGCGAAGCCTGACGTACCACGGATTGCAAAAGCCCTCCAGCACTGAAAAGAAATAAAGGAGACCCCCCCCAGAAAATAGAGAAAGAGAGATCGACGAGCCAGTGCAGAAACAAGCCAAAAACCGGAGATGCAAAGTTCGGAAATGCAAGATTCCAAGCATGCTCGGTGGTGCGGGCAGCCTCGCCACGCCTGCGCAACGCCGTGTTACGTGTTTGGAACGGCAGGGCCGTACAACAGCGCAGAGCTCCTGCAGCATCCTGCAGGCTTTAGGCTTTAGGCTTTAGGGTTTAGGGTTTAGGGTTTAGGGTTTAGGGTTTTAGGGTTTTAGGGTTGTTCTTCTCCAGGTCGCAAGCCACGAGCCCCACCCATAGCACACCAAGTCACCAATGACCTTGTGGCGTTGGGTGCGCTCCGGCTCCAGCCACACACATGCCCGCATGGCGCCCGTGCACCATCACATTAGGCGCACTTTCAATCACCGGCTGCCTCCTCGACAATCCCCCTGCGAACTTCACACAAAACACTTAGTTCCCGATGGTTCTTGCTAAGGTTGTAGCTCCGAAGCACTCAACCGGAGGCCGCGGTTTACGGAAGAGCCTGTTGGAACTTTTGCGAAACACTTCGTTCAGAAGTCATTGTCTGGAGGCTTGGTTCAACAGAGAATAAAGGGTCCTTTAGAAGCCTGAAGCTGAGCCCGAAAAACCTTGATTGCAGTAGCCGACTGATCTCGCAGCGAAACATCGCGATCCGGCGACGCTCGTCAATGCTCATGCGCTTGTCTAGTATATAAGAGGAACTCGGGCACGGCAATTTCAAACACTTTGGTTTCGCTGGGGCTCGCTTAGTCTCTTGCGAGGGATCTCGTGGATCCCACAATGAGCCGCCCCACCTGCCACAGCCGTTCAAATCTCAGACATGCCATCAGTTCGATCCGCCCCTTTGCACATCACATCTCCTCCTGGCATGTTTTGCTCTGTGGCTATGAGGCTCCGACCAGTCTTCCATTGACCGCCGCATGTCAGGGCGAGCCTGGGTTGCAACGACAGAACGCTAATTTTTGCTTGTAGCCTATCAAGAAAGCCAAGGCACCGCCAAGCATGGATCGTTTCGCATCACCGCTGGAATCATGGACGCCTGCCGAAGCGCAGAAAGCCTTTCGCATCTCGAACTGAACCTGAAGGCTTAGACCAAAAAAGACTGTCCGACCTCCGACCTGCCCGACCCGGTGTCTAGCTCAAACTGTAAGCAACATCAGCCTATCGACTGCAGGGTCCAGATCGCTGCCTTGAGTTCGGAACCCCATGAAGCTAGCAAAGGCAACAATGCCACAATGGAAGCCATTCCGAAACTGGAAAAACCTGATTCGGGAAACCAGGATTCGGGACACTCGCCTATTCAGGATACGAAACTGGAAAACGCGGATTCGGGAACCGGAGATTCGGGAAACTTCAAAGTGCGGATTCGGAAACTGAAAGCGTTCGGGAAACCCGGATTCGCGAAACCAGCTGATTCAGGAAACTGAAGCACGCGGAGTCGGAAACCAGCTGATTCAAACTGGAGCACGCGGACATGAACATCGTCATCCCCGCCCACCCCCCCCCCAACCCCCCCCCCCCAACCCCCCCCCCAACCCCCCCCCCCCCACCCCCCACCCCCCACCCCCCCCCACCCCCCCCCAACCCCCCCTGGATCGCGCGTTCGCAGTTTCCTGAACCGCGTGTTTTCAGTTTCCTGAATCTCGTGGTTTCCTGAATCGCAGTTCCTGGATCGCACGTTAGTCCACACAATGGCGTGGGGAAGTAAGAATGAACCCAACGGATGCCTTGCCAGCTTTGTGCATGGCTGTCCCGCGGCACTATCTCTTTAGGAACGTTTCAGCTTCGGCAGCCCTCGGCTGTTGAATGCATTAGGCGACGTCAATCTGCAAGAACCTGACCGGACAATGCTGACAATGCTACCGCGCGATCATGCTACTTGAAGCTCGTGGCTGCGAAGAGCACGACATTCAAAAGGCAAGCAAACCGTTGCAAAGTGCTTCAGAAACAGTGCACACGACAACACGCAAACCCCTTTTCTTGGTGTACATCCCCGCACCGTACTGGAACAGTGACTGATGGTCGCAGAATCGCCCCCAGCTTGCAGAATCTTTTCCAAAAAAGAAGCCCAGCAGTGGATTCTCATAATCTATCTATGCACAACCAGGATCACAGCAAGCTGCACATGGACTCCCACTCATCCAACTCCCGTACACAATGCAGCACCCTGTACAAGATGGGCTGCGGCTGCGAGTCAGAGCTCAAGCTTCTGACGCGAAAGGAAACGAAAGAGACCACCACCACATCACATGGTTCTGACAGATAGCTTTGAACATCTCGTAACACATTGACACATTGAGAATGGAAAAGATGCGAAAAGTTATAAAAGCCATCGCAGATATTTCAGTCAAAGCAAAGCAAAGCCATCAGCTTCCTCTCGCCCGCGCAAAGGGTGCAGGTCGTTTTGTGCCTGAGGACATTGAGGACAACGTCAAACGTCGTCCACCAGCTGCCGAGTCGAGCTAGTCCACACTCCAAAACTCCTCCACAACGTGCCTCGGCTGCCGGCAGCGGACCACCACCACCGCAGCGCCGCTCGACGAAGGCTGCAGGGCCGCGGCCTAAGGGGAAGGCATACGGCAGGCAAAGCACGAGATATTGCGCGATACGGCATCCTTTGGACCATCTCCCTTGGACCATCTTGCACTCGACAAAGCAGTCTAAGCCACTTAAGCACTAAGGACGACCAAGCTCCAGACTCAGCGGTACCGGGGCATCTCCCGGTCCTCTGTCACCGGTCACACTAAAAAGATCTTGTGCGCAGAATTGCATTGTTCGAATCCCGAGTGTCTCCTTGGCCGAAAGCCGCAAGGTCACGCCTGTGAAAAGCGTAACCATTGGTACATTCAAGGAAATGTCTTGTTGGCATGCAAAACCAAACCTCCTGAGAAACGCAATCCAGATCTGTCATTTGTCGTTTGTCGCTATGACTGCTGGATCCGTTTGTTGGAGTGCATGCTGGGCGGAACTTGTTTACTGGCAACGTCGTGTTGCCGGTATCGCGGTCCACGATAGCACGAAGCCTGCTGCCCAGACAGCTGGCACCGCCAAGCGTGCTACATGCACGCTGAAGCTTCTCCGATAACTCCAATTGAGATAAGTAAGTCCTTCTGAGTCACTGCCATCAGCACTTCATCAGGTATGCAGGTACTTGCTTAAGTGCTTGGAACAACACTGCTTCTTTCAACCTGCATGGCTAACTTGACTTGCTGTGCTTCAAAAGCGTGGCCGAACACAATCAATGGCCTCGATGACGCAGGTCCCGAAACAGACTTGCCAGCATACCTGCTACACTGTTCTTTGCATTACAGACTACTCGAAAGTTCCAGTCATTCTGTTCAGACCAATCTGTAGATACGCAATCACCCAGCCTTGTGCCGGTCGGGGACGACGCACGTGACACGCGTGTGCTTCCTGCACTCACCTACAATTTCAAAGCGCAGGCACCACCATAAGACGCTGCAAGAACTTCGAATATTGTGGTCCAGAAGAAGCATCTAGAACGACGGCCTGATCATTTCATGCATTCGTGTTATCCATCACTATCCGCATGGGAATGGCCTGCGGAGGAGGCGGAGGCCAAGCCTGTTAGAATCAACACTTGACGCCGATTTGGCGAAAATGTTTCACTACTCCACTTGCCTCCGGCAAGTCAGCCCATGGAGGAGGCGGCGGATACAGGGGCGCCTTGACCAAAACATAAGAACAAAGCTTCACACATCTCCGATTTCTCTCCGGTAGCTCCAACTAGGGACTGCGCGCTTGCCCACGGCTCACGCGGGTCACGTGGGTCACGCAGATCTCGATAGTCTGCCATCAGTCAAGGCATATCAGTTTGCCTAGTGCAAGTTCAAGAAACGTGTGAAGTTTCGTATTGCGACACCTTGCCTTGGGCGCTACCTGCCGCGGCAACTGCAGCTGCTGCTGCGGCGCTGACAGGCGATGGCAAAGGCACCCAGAAGTGAACACCTGCACTTTTGACAGTCGCCGTTACTTTTTTTCGCAGCACTGCAACCACTATGCAACCGCTCCTCCACCCCACAGCTGCTGTGGCACCCGCCGGTCCGGAGACAGTGCCCGACCGGAGGGTGAGGCGGCCTGGTTCCATGCACCTGGGCTCAGTGCCAATAGATGCCAATAGCAACACCTTTAAATGGGCCGGTGTCTTTAACACCACACTGCACCATGCAGATCACACGTGGTGGTTGCTGCTTTGAAAAAATCCCCATCCACAGAAGTTGACCGGTGGCACTGCTGAATATTTACAAACTGCGAGAGCCAAAATGAAAGCCACAGTTTTGCTAGCCATGCCAGTGTTCTTGGCAACTGGCACGGTGCGGCAATCCGCGCAGAGATGCGCGGAGAAGAGTCCCTTGCTGCCGTGCGCAGCCTCTTGGTGGTGTGGCGGCCGTCGTATGTCATGTTGACCGCTGAGCGTGGCTTTCTTTGGTTTCTCCAACACGTCTGGCTTGTGTTGCAAAGGAAATGGGAAGCTCGTCTGGGAGCACTTCGCACCCTGCTTAAAGCTTTCTCCACCTTCAACGAGGAATATGGCGGCATGATGTGCACCAAGCCATGTCTGCGGCACCAAGCCATTGCAGGCACCAGAATCGGTATGGCCGCGATGCCATTGCAAGCTCCAGCTCTAGATGCTCTAGTCGTCAAGTTGCGTGCGTGGGCAGCTCAAGCAGATGTAGAGCTGTAGAGGGGGGGGGGGGGGGGGGGCATGGGAGAGCCAGGGTTAAGCAACTCCCGGCTTGGCGGCTTGATTTGACGTTGTCTACACCAAGTTGGGGGGATGGGTCGCTTGCACTTTCCAAAAATAATGACTCGCACTTCAGGCTGCCAGCCCTGAATCGGAAAGCCGTGAGAACAGGACGCAAAGGCTCTGACATCTTCAGCGCACAGCTTTAGAATTGACGGCCTATGTCGGCCTATCAGTTTGAACTAAGAGCAGAATGCAGCAATGGTGCAGCAGCAACAGTTGGCACGGGGAAAAAATGTGAAGCGCTGTGCACTGGCAAACTGGGCAGTCTAGACATGTCTAGACCAGAGCAAAGCACGCACAGCTTGGTTTGCTCGGATCCGCACATCGTGTGTTCGCTGATGCTGCAGAAAACCTCAGTGCAAGCTACCTCCTTTGCCGCAACAACATCCGCACACTGATCTTGAGCTGAGACGCCGCTCTGAACAAAAGTAGCACACGTGACCAAGCTCCTCCTGGGCAACGAGGCAAGTGACACTGCGGATATGCATCTTCTACATAGACCTACATCTAAATTCACAGATCAGTGCTTGAGAACATATTGCAACCCTGCATAACCCTGCTTGAAATATTTTGAGACGTGCATGCTTGTTGTCCGGGTTTCCGCGTAGCGGTCCAGCATGGATCCAAGGTGCCTGGCTGCTTACGACAGAGAAGAGCATGCAAAGAGCCAAGCTTCACTCGATTTCATCCGCAGATCAGAAGCAAACCCTGGCCAAACTGCTCAGAGCCACCGGATCCATTCTGCTCCTTCAGAGGTCTCGGCAATCAGCTGCCTTCTTTGCCTTAGTCTCGCAGTTAAGCTGGCCCTCTGGTAGAACTGGATCTCTGTCAGAACGCCTGCCGCGGGCTCTATGATCTAGTCCTGTCATGTTGTCGCCCCAGCTGAGCATGATGCTGCTCCATTCGCCATAGGCACATGTCTTTGGCCCGCAGAAGCCGCTCGGCCACAACATGCCTGTTCAGCTCGATGCATTTTCCCGAACCCAAGCTTCTAGCTACCGATGCCCGCCAAAACTGTTAGCTGCTAATCCACACACCCCTCTCGGCAATCCCAGAAAGCCTCCTGCATAGCACGGTGACTTAGGAGGTGCCTCCGCAGCTTGTCAGCCCGCATGCGGGCTTCGAACGGCACATCGTCGATAGGCACCTCCACCTCTAAGAGGCTCTAAACCACCAAATGTCGTGTCTGCTCGAATCAGTGTGCACGGTGAACAACTTGAGCTGCACAACAGTTCACGGCACGTACACCGGAGTGCACAGAAGCTCCCCTTGCAACTGATCACCCAGCCTGCGGTAAGGAACAGGCACGAGAACACAGTGCATCTGCTGCTGCGTGCAGGTCTGGAAACTCAGCACGGAAAGCAGCCTGTCGCACTCAGCAAGAGTCTGGTACCATTCGACGCTTCAGCATCACAGCTAGGATTTATCATGCCGCTTCGTGAAAGCGTGGCGTAGCTCCAACTCACAACTTGAACTACTTAAACCACGGTAAGGTGAACCAGTAACCAGGCATAACCAGGCGCTGGGATCCGGAAACCATCCCCTCTTCCCGCCCCCCACGGCTCCCACGCATCATGCACGTCCCTCACCATGCTTATTCAACTTCCGTCATACTCTCAACAGTGAACCCCGATCTTTCTACAAGCTTACACATCATAGCTGCCGGTCGAGCCACGGCCGTGCTGGAGTGACTGCTTCCATCGGCCTGTCGGAGGGAACTACGGACAGCGAGCCCGGCGAAACAAAAACTTGAACTTCCAGTTAAGAAAAAAGAAAGGTTCAACAAATGGAAACCGAGAGAGCGAGAGCATTGAGTAGCGCTGCGCCACACTTACAAAAGCATTGTTGCAGGCACGCAGCCCGGCAAGCAGCGTTGGGCAACCCGGACAGATGAGACTCTGAGAGCATGTCTTGGCACAGGACGGCTTAGGCCGCTTGGGCTCTCAGATTCTTATACACATTTAAATACACACATTTGTCGTGAAATATGTTTGTTGAGGCTGCATCAGCTTTCTCTATATGGCATTGAACGAGGCTGGACCGTACCCCTTGATATTCCTTCACCTGAGATTGTTGTCAGAATCGATCTGCGAATGTCAAGTCTGCTGCTTTCGATGCTGTCCCGAAAACCTGGCTGCTCCATGCCTGCGCACACCAAGGCCGTGTGGGGGGGGGGGGGCATTCCGGGTCAGGCGAGCCTGCCAACGATCTGGAAAACAAGCCAAGAAAGCGGACACCACACATGCAACAGCCACATTGTTGAAGAGCAAGTCTCCCACTCTCCCACGACCTGCAAGCTACGGTCTGCATTCTCGACCGAAGGCCTGAAGAAGACGCTGGCAAAAGTCCTCGATTTGACCAGCGAGCCGCAAGCGAACGTCCCTCTCACGGGTCAGCACTGCCTGCCCACGGACAAACAGCGAACCCGAACATGCCCATGTGTTGCCAGCTGAGCTTGCTGCATTCACGCACGACTCATGCACTCACTGGCCCGCCTGCTTGAGGCTTTCAACGGAGTTCAAGTGATTCCGCAGCACCTCTGACAAGACGACACATGCCTCCACATGCACTTGCTGGATGTGCAGTTCCGGAGCTTGTCCCTTTGCCAAAGAGTGAGAGTTGCATATCTGCAGCGAGGTTCCCAGCTGTGTGCGATATGTGATACTGACGGCACATTCTCCATCCATATGAGATGAGTGCCTCTGATCACCATCCCACTTGCACCTCAAAGTCTTCGAGAGCCTCGCGCTCGGCCTTCGCATGTAAAACACATGGTGGACATGACTGTTTGGGCTTTAGCCTTCGCACAAAATACTCCTTTCACAACAGTCATATTTGTCAATGACGCAGCCTCGCTCCCACTCCTTCAACAGTGTGGCTCCACAGGTTGCAGGCTGCGGGAAGAGACTGCTGCTTGTTTGGGTTCAAAAGTTCGTGTAATAAGTTGCTCCTTGTTCCTTCCGCACGGCATAGATGCGCGTCGCTCGAACGACAAACACAAGGGGTGGCCACGCAAGTCCGTGGGGATGGCACGCATCTGTGGACACGCTTGCACGTCATGCTTGCATGTCACACTTGCATGTCAGAGCCAACGGACAAGGCTCCTTCGACGTGTCGCCGCGAAACATCTACCAGATTTGGTTTTCGGCTTGAAGCTCCCGCATGCTCCCGCGGCGCCCTTGAATATGCTGGCAAGTCCGGCCAACTTTCTACTGATAGCTTGAATTTATGCCTGAACGTCCTGAATACGACTTGTTCAGACCCAGACTCGGGTTCGCGAAGACACGCTGCCCACCTCCCTGCCGAAGGTATAACAAGGAAAATGCAGCTCCACACCTCTAGGGCTTAGAGCTTGAAGGAATTACGTAATCGAACGTTCAACAGAAATGCTCGAAACCCAGGCCCTTAAGTCTTACAGCAAACCCAGCAAGCTGCAACAGCACAGCAACTTAGCAGGTTGTTCCAGGCAACGCTCACACCACTGCCGCCACTACAACCAAACTTTGCTGTTTTCTGTTGTACTGCGGTACATCTTCGTCTGTTACACTCAAACGCCCGAACACCCCGACCAGCGTGACCGGCAGGCATGCGGACTCGAGACAGGCTGGGCAAACACGGCAAACACGGCAACAACGCAGACCCGACCATGCACGTTGGATGCTCGAGATTGGAATGGACGAAATGGACATGCAAGTAGAGCACCGTCGTGTTAACGTTGGTCGACAGAACCTCAGCGAGATCATTCGTGCCTCGACTGAGGCAACCCAAGCTGAGGTGTCCTTTGACTACCGAAGGGCTTTTCCGAGGAAGGGCAATCAAAAGCTGACAGCTCGAGCGGCATGGCCTTCGTACCCGACCAGGGTTCAGGCTTTACGGTTTGGGGCTTCCCCGTGAGGATCCGCCCTTGCACCGAAGTAATCGGCTTAGACAATAAACCCTCAAGGCCCCCAAAAGACCCCCTCCCCCCGCCCAAATGCACTGCTCGACAGGCTCTGCTCCAGCTGACCCTTTCCGATCCTCGAAGGCTAGAAAAAAAAATGTGCACGAGGGGGGGGGGGGAATGGTGGGGTACTACAAGAACTACAAGAAGGTCTCCCAACATAAAACGCTGCGAAAGGAGACACAGAAGCACACTTCCTTTGAATTGGCCGATTCATGCATGAAAAGTTGTTGTCGTCTCTTGAAACAATAAACTTCGTCAGACCTTGCAGGACTTGCAATGTAGAAGCCGAGCTTGAAGCTTCAAGAGACAGCTAGCAACGCCTCTGCACAACGCTGTCGCAGCTCACCAGAGCGCGCTTCAATGGCCTGACACTGGTGAGAAGCCCCAAAATGCTCGACGAGGCTGAGTAGAGTGAAAAATCTGCAAAATGGTGGAAAAATGGTGCAAAGAAGCTGTCAACTGCCCAGTCTCGAGCCTGGACAGCCGAGTCCAAATCCCTGCGGCAGCCACGAAGTTCTGGCAGCAGCTGGCGTGCACCCTGGCACACGTGGCTCAGCAATGCTCAGCATGTGCACCACATGGCTAATGCACACGTGGACAAATCGCAACCACATCCGGCCTGGAGTTTTGACCGGAAGTCCTGCTTTCAACACAGCTGAGTCGAACTACCAGCAGCAGAGTACGAACAAAGGGTTTCGGAGATATTCTCTAATTTCGCATATTGGGCTTCGGCTTCATGGTGGCTTCACGTGGCTTTTTTTGGCCGGCGACCGACAACATTTTGATACAGCATTTGGGACTGCAGTTTTCATAGCCTGAAGCTGGAGTTGCTCTCTGGAGAAGTCACGGCTGGCCAGCTCCTGGGACTGTCGCAGTTCGGGATGCAGAAAATGCGACATTAGTCTCGACAAGATGCGAACCTATGCGAACCTATGCGAACCTGTGCGAACCTATGCGAACTCATCAGAAATCAACGCGACTTGTCACATTCCAACTGCCTCAAGTCATCCCACCGGGCAGTTCAGGGCCATTCTCATTGCCAAGTGGCAGCTTGCACCTGGACAGGCACTTCACGGGAAAGCCACCAACTCCATGCCACCTGCACCTAACCGACTCAACCGAATATGCATAATATCAGGCACGCAGCCGCGCCTCCACAGATTTGGATGGCTTTCGCTGCGTTTCAGGCGCTGGCAAAGCACTTTGCAGAGCACCTGTCCGGTCGGTGGCTGTGGGCTGAGCTTGAAGTGCTCAGATGTGGGATGGAATAGCACATCTTCAACTTGGAGAAGGTTAGTAGATTGCATCACGACCTATCAAACTCATTGGCAGGCATAGAGGATTCGGTACACAATGATGTTGCAGAGGGCTTGCTGAAGAGGCACAAAGAAGGTTTACTTGGGGCAACACTTGCACTAGTCTGCACGTGTATTCTGCATCTTACAAACAAAACTAAGTTGTAGGACAAAGATGCAAAACATCCCACGAAACAGCTGCGGGCAAAATGCGCTTTAGAACCATGTGTAGTATTCTTTGGTTTTTGGTTACATGATTTGTGGTCGAGGCCTTCTTTGTATAAAGAGGCAAAAACGCTGCAAATAGCAGCGTTTCGGGCATGATCGCAAATGGCATGAGCACATGTGACAGTGCATCTGGTTGCAGAAACATCAATAATTCTTCTGCAACATGTTGTATAATAATAATAACAATACTAATAATAATAATAATAATAATAATAATAATAATAATAATAATAATAATAATAATAATAATAATAATAATAATAATAATAATAATAATAATAATAATAGTGATAATAATAAAAAAAATACAAATAATAATAATAATAATAATAATAATAATAATAGTAATAATAATACTTAATAATAATCACGCGACACAGTCCAGTGTTGTTGACAGCGCGCGTCTTGTTCCAGAATTGTCACACATCCTTTTGCATCATGATGTACGAAAAGCAAAAAAACAAACGTTGTAAGTAGCAGTGTTTTGGGCATAGTTAGTGTAACATGGTCGTAACCCCCCACCGATCCCCCACCAACTAACCCCCGTTTTGCGCGGCAAACGAGAGGGATGTCCTACATCCCTAACCCCTATAAAACTCCTCGCCCTAAACCCTAAGTATATCCACAGTCTAAATCCAAGATCCAATCTGCAGCGCCTGGGCGTTTCGACAAACCCCCCGAGTACCCGTACCAGACATCATATTCATCCTCTACGATCTCATACGATCTCCTACTCTTGCCATCTCATACCCTGACGGTCCTTGACACTGCTCATACCAACTCATATTGCGCACTCACCATTTCGAGGCGCCTGGGTCCACAGCGCCTACAGGGCCTCTGACAGGGCCTCTGCCGCGTGCCGAGTCAAAAATGCAACCCAAGGTTTGCAAGCGCCTGGTGCTGGCAGGGCTCCCGCACTGGGGGCACCTGGCCTTCAGACAATTGAACAAGTGTCTGTCATGTGAAGTCATGTGAAGTCATGGGTGGGGCTGTACGGCTGTATTTTGCTTCCGGGTCTTGGAGCACGTATCGGCTCTCATCAAGAGCCAGCACTGAAGGCTTTGCACAATTTCAACACGCGTGTTCTCTTGGATGACACGAATTACCCCGCTGCCAGAGAATCCGATGCCACTTCAGGGACACCATCGCGGACACGTCTTGAAATCTTGCGCCAAGGAGCCCTTGTGATGGCAACTGCGACGCCTGCAACCTGATTTGCGATCCATCAAGTCAAGCCAACAAGCTATCACTAGGCGATGGCTTCGTAAGATGAACCCATGCAATCCAGCCAGCTTGCGGAGCTTGCGGAGGTTGCGCAGCTTGCGCAGCTTGCGCGGCTTGCGGAGGTTGCAGCGGTTGAGGTGCACTCGGTGCGCTCGGTGCGCTCCACATCTCCCTCATCTCGCGCATCAGCTCGTAGAAAGGCCTGGCCTCACCGCAGAGGAAGACCACCGATGATCTCAAAGGATTCTCCAAAAGAAGCTTATCATAGTCTCAAAGAGCCCGAAGTCCAAGCCTCGCTCGGGCGCATGCCCGGGGAGGCGGACCTGTAGGGAGAGGCCTCACGGGCCTCAGCTCTGCATCTCTGTAAGGCAGCACACGAGCCATGGTCAGCGTTGTGAGGAATTCTGAGACTCACTGCTGGTGGGGCCGGCGGAGCTGGCGGAACCGAGTGGATGGTTCCCTGCACGACCCATGCACGCCTGCACCAGCGGTTGCAGACTTCGCTGAGAGATGCTCAGAGCCTGGCTTGCTACTTTTCCCAAAAGCGAGACAACGTTTGTGCAACATGGGTGTGATGCTTTATAGAAGTATTTGGGAAACCCCATGCGGCACACGAGCATGTGTGGTCTTTTAGCAGCATCAGTTGTAGAGTGACTTCCTTACCTTCCATGGAAAGAGTGCCGGGTTTCTTCGCTGTGTGCCTTTCCCATTGGGTGCAGGGGCCGCCCTTGTGATGTTTCGGGTGCGGAGGGGTGCACTTGATGTTTTCATTTGCTGGTGCAGGTGCATTAGTTGGCTGCGCGTGTGTGTGTGTGTGTGTGTGGATGTGCGGGATAACATTGCTGTGCTTGCTACTGGTACGGCTGCGGGCTGCACTTGTCTGGTTTGGTGCAGGTATTGTTGCGGGCGCAAGGGATCGCAAGGGCACGTATTTGCTTTGACGGCGTGAGGCGGGTGCTGTTGCGAGCGATGCGTTCTTTATTTTGCTGTGGGTGCGTGGGCATGGAACCTCAGAGAACCTACAAGCACGCTAAGTTTCGCAAAATCCCTTAATCCTAAACTCCCAGACAAGCCTGACTGAAAATTGCGTTGATCCCCCACCACCTGCCATTAGGTGTCGCTATTCTGGTTTGCCACTGGTTTGCTACAAAACAACACCGAAAGATATGATTTACAAGCATGTACAGAACACAGGCTGCACGTGGCGGCACCAGCAAAGGTCCCAGAAAGAGCGGCGAGGGCCAAAAAACAAGGAGAAATCCCTGCAGTGAGCCAAGCAACCAAACCCCACCAAGTAGACCCTGAACCAGTCACAGCAAGGGACAGTACCTGATTCATCCAGTTTATGCGTCCGGCGTGCTGCCATACGTATTCGTTCAACAAGTGGAGCATGTTGCTGCATGTTGCACCCCAACACAACCTTGTAGAGTCAACGAGCAGGAAGGTGCTGAAACAACACGTTCTCGCAGCGCCCCCGCAAGAGTCCCGGACTCTGCCTTTCGAGAAGAAAATGGAAAGGCAAGTCAAATCTGAAAATGCGCTCTGCTTTGGTTTTTTTATGCGGACCACTGAAGGCTGAGGGAGTGTGCACCGGCAAAAGGAACAACTCAAAACCCATGCCGCGGGCGTTTTGCTTCTGATCGAACAGAAAGCAACTGCCGCGATTGTAAATACACTGATGCAATGATCATGGTCTGTTGTCGTTGGGATGCTTGCGAGAGAGAGAGGGAGGGAGACAGAGAGAGAGAGAGAAAGAGAGATGCAAAGTAAGACTGTTAAACCAAAAGTTGAAGCTGGAAGTCTGAGTTTGAAGAATTTCGACTTTTTGTGCAAAGAGTGTGCAGCCTGTCTTCAGCTCCTTCCAGAGAAGATCGCGGTACTTCGGGTGCCATCGCCCCTGAGCTCATCTGGCCTGAAACAATGAGAGTCTGGCACAATGCTACGATGTGAAATGGGGTTCGTGCTTGTTGTGACCTCAAAGCACACAAAGCACAACGATGCCAGAAAATCTTATTGGCCTGGTCCGGCAGCCACGTCGCTTTTCTGCAAGTCTACCTGCATGTCGTTCCCCAGGGATGGGCCCCCTGGCAACAAACGCTTGTTCACTGTGTAAGGCTCTCTGGGAAAAACGGTCTCTTCTCACAGGATGCCTCCAAGCTCTTGTCTGGAGTTCGCACGAGGCGGAGGGAGCAAAGGATGCTGCTCCCATGGTTGAGGAGGCCTCCCGATTTCAATGACCGTGAGGACCCCTGGAACGTAAACAACTAAACTTTCCTTGGACGAATGTGTGTAGAAGAACAAAAGGAGCCTTGGGCATTTCATGACATCTGCTCGATGTGACTTGGGCGCCTGCTGCGCGTAGCAGAAGAATCGCGAGTCTCATTTGACCTGACGAACACAGCCGCCATCAAACCACCTGCCACATCTCCGAAACAAAGCGACTGCAGCGCCCACTGTGCTGCGCACCTGCCCATCCTCTCCTAGCAGAGACAGAGTTAACTCCCGAAGTCTTGATTGGCTTCTCATCTCTCGCTTCAGAATAAATGGAACTACCAAATGATGCAAACAAGGTTTTAGCTCACCATACTTGTGTACCTTGAATTGCGTAGCACGGCTGTCCTCTCCACAAGGCAGGCCAAGACCTGCAACAGATCTCACACTTCTTCATCATGGCAACATCGCAATGCATCGCAGCAATCTGTGCTGTGGACTTGCCAAGAAGCCTTGCTCTTTCTGCCTGACAGGAGCAACTCCATCTTTTCTGGAACTTTGCTCACCTAGCGAAGATGTGCACGCAATAGAAGCCATCATCTGAGGATGGTTGTGCCATCCATGACTTACGCGAAAACAAAACAATATTCATATCTAGACATGTACTTTCGACATGTGATCAAGGCGCGCCTGATCCTGTCCCCTCTCCCCTCCCATTCCACCAACGAGACGACGTCGGCAGGATTCAAAGCCTTTTTCCTCTTCGGGCATCGGAAAAGGGACTTCGTTTGACGTCCGACTTGTGCAGCTTGAGGACACTTCATTCTCGGCACTTTCGGAATAGAGATAGTCTAGTTGGTGCACAAGTCGATGTCTCGTCCTCATCCTAGCTGGGGGCAAATCTGTTTGAAATAAAACGCATCAACCAGGCTGAACACATCGAAAGGGTGACTTATTGGAATGGGCCTTCCTTGTTTTCTGCTGGTTATAATGGAAATCAAATGTTAACTTGCACTTGCTGATTTCTGCCATGTTCTGCATACCCGGCATACCCTTTGCATTCTCCTCGAGTGTATGTAGACGACGCCCGCGTTGCCGCAGGAGTTTCACGAATCTCGTGTACCACTTGACATCCTCGAATGTGTTTAGTCCCTACTAACCAGATTTGTACATTGCCGTCGCATGTTGACGCTCGTCATGCAGGAAGAAATTAGGAAAGTGCGTTTACATCATTTGCGCAATTGTGCCAGTGTACTCTGAGAGACTCCCGCAACACATGTTAGCCTTTAGGATCTTTCAGGGCTCCATGTCTTCAGGGTTTAGGGGTCTTTTTAGGGAGAGAGTCTGTTGGCTTTATGATCTGGAGGGCTCAGAGTCTTTAGGCTTTAGGGCCTTTAGGGGGTCAGGGTCTTTAGGCTTCGGGGGTCTTTAGGATTCAGGGGTCTTCGGGTCGACAAAGCCAACACAAGCAAAAACATCCCGAAGTAAGAAAAAGCATGAAATTCGCGTTTTTAAGAATGGCCGATTGTTTGCCCCGAACGCAAGAAAGCGCTGCAAAATAGCCAGCGAATTTGCCAGTCGCGACCTCATTGTTGCCGACATTTTTTGCGCCATCCATACATGTGCAAAAACCCTCGCTTTTCATCCTGCCAACAATAAATAGGCTTAAAAAAACATGGGAAAATGCGCATAACACAACAAACCAAGCGCATAAATGCACGCCTGTAAACCATGCGGCGGGAAACTTGTGCACATTAAACAATCAAACCAATGAAACGGACATGCTAATGGAGCGGGCCCTTCTTAAATCTAAATTCTTAAAGTTACCGGATAACTCGCATTAAACTAGCATGTTGAGGGAGAGCCGTCGAAAAGTAGAAAATGCTCGGTTGTGTTTTAAAATAGAAATTTTGGCGAAACGGTCTCGCCAAGGCGCCGCGTGCACTCCGCATTTCGAACAGCGACCCGCTTTCGTACCGCAGCAAGCACTGCCTCATGCACCGGCCTAGATCCCGCGCTCCTTCCTCCCCGCCACGTAAAGCAAGGCTCTCAAAGAGCTAGCCGAAGGGCCTATGCAGCCTACTGCGCTTCTAAACATCAATCGTGGACATTGTTTCTTCTTCTGGTCGGCTGAGGCATCAGGCATCGGCTTTAAGAATTCGCACGGCTTGCGACTGTTGAAACTTTGCGAGTTTTTCACGGCCTTCGTTTCATGGGATGCTCGCGCGGACTTCCAGACCCAACACGACCGAGATACGGTAATACATTGACTGCACTAATTTCCCCGAATTCAAAGAGCAAACCACTGCACGAAGGTCAGCTTATTGTAGAATATTCGTCCTGTTAAGCGGCCGTTGGATTTTAAGTCCTGATTTAAAAGTATGACACAAATGTATACATGACTCAACGGCATGTTGATCAGATAATGGGTGAAAGCGGAACTCAGCCGCTAGGTTTCCTTCTGGAGCACCGAAGCTCAATTGGCCCATCGGCTGTCCCAATAGCTGTCCTTCATTCTCTCTTCGTACCCGCCTGCCCATGTTTCCGTGCCAGAAATTAAAGGAATGCAGCTGGCTTCCTTCCATTCATGTTAAGCACGTGAACTAGACTATGCACGTTTTAAATTTGGTGGCCGAACGAATCCAAGAATGAAGAGTGTACTTCTATCAGCTCGGTTCATGCAAGAAAGGAGAATATGCTTTAGCTTAAACACCCATGGGCCAATAATCATTGAGTTGAATTAAACGTTGATGAGCCTGGGCCTTTGGTGTTTCATGATTTTAAACCGTGTGTTTGAAACCCTGCTGCAAATACCTAGCAATGTGTAATCCCAAACGACTGGTCTTGTCTAACTTAACAGTAACATTGTCACGGGCTTCAAGGAAATTGTAGAGTCACACGTTGGTTTTACGAGTACGAGCTCCCCAAGAACTGCAAGTCGCTTCACTGGTCTGGCTGACACGATTGGAGTTCAACGAGTTCACCTGTGCGCTTTTTGCGGGGTCGAAGTCGTTTGAATGCGACTCAGAAGTCAAGGAAATCAAGAGCTCAGAAATTATCCATAAGCCTGCTCAACCCAACCCCCAAGCTCGAGCCCCCCGCAGGCTGCCTTTGTTGCGACATCAACACGCAAGTCGTCGAAACCTGTAACCTGCTAAATGCGACTGACTGCCGATCCCTGCCTTCAGCAACAGCGACATCCTTCCCCGACTCTGACATTTGTGGCCGACCTTGCTTGAAGCTACTGCACACACGCCTACCGCAAACGCAAGGCAATGCTTTGCTTCCCTAGACTGTGTACACAGTGCGGGGTTCTTGCGTTTGTACTCCAAGGGGATTGGAGTGCAGTGGCCGAACACTTCCGAAGACTTTGCATGTCTTCCGCCAAGTTGCCATAGGATGCAGTGGGGGCCCGAAGGGCGCTTCGGTGGAACTTAAAAAAATGAGAAAAGAAAAGGAACTGTTGTGCTTCGGGCTTCCGGTTCTGTTGGGATGCCCTTCCTTGCGGGTTCCTTGTCTTGTTGACCGGTATTGGATTGGATACGGTAGGATCCCGCCGGGAAGCATTTCTTTACCGGTGCGGGTTCTTGAGTAAAGTGTTCTTTTGTGACTTCGGGTGCCATGCACAGAAAGGTTACGTCACTCCGTGCCAACCTCACCAGTAGGAGCTATGCGACATGGGTGTCAGCAACAGTGTTTGTTGTTGCACACAGGGCATTCAGTTGCAGCAGGGAGGTCCGCAGAAAGGGGTGATGATGCTTCGTCTCATGCAACATTCTCAGACAACGATTATCGCTCACGAGCACTTTGGTGCTGCCGTGGGGTTGGTCCTTCTCTGCAGTGGTCGGGACTGCTTTGTTTGGGCAGATTTTGAGCAGCTTTTTTTGAGATGTCGGCGCAGCTCACTTACGTTGATATGTTGTTTCCTGAATACTCGCCTCTCGATCAGGCCACAACTACAAGCACAGATCTTGGCTTGTTACAGCTTGATCACTGATCATCATGTTACATTGCTCTGGTTATGCCTGGCAACCTACCATCGCAGCAGCTGCTGGCGGCAGAGCTTTCGCTGGCCCAGCTGACGCATCATGTCCGACCACTTTTGTGGCCTGAGATGACTGAGGTGGACCTTGGCTGTCAAACAAACAAATCCACGGCCCCGCACACCATCCGAAAAACCTACAAGGACCTACATGGGCGCAGTCACATCTTGCAACTATGTTGCCTGAAGCTGGCACAGGCAGCGGCTGTGGCCCTCGCAGCATAGGGCAAAACGATGCAAGCACTCGCATCGAACGACTCAGGACAGTCTGTCAAGATGCAGCCGGAACCTGTAGACACCGCAGATTTTCCAGAACAACCGCAGGGTTCCGTTCCCACCGCGATGGCCCCACCTTGAAATCGGATGCCATGCACGCGATGATGAAAAACGAGGCAATGCCTACATGCGGCTATGCTACCTTGCAGATTGTCGGAAGCAGTCGCAATCGAATCCTCATGTTCAGGACCATGTCTCTCTGCCGGAGTTGGCCCAGAGAGTGGCTGCCCAGCACTGCTAGCGCCTCTCCAGAGCACACAAGCACACCAGCTGTCAAATAGACACAGCGTCGCCTGCTGGTGGCTGGCGTGGCTGACTGGGATGGGCACGGCCTCCTTCCAGCTGGCCTGCATCTGTCTAACAGGCTGAGAAATCTGTGCTTCTGAAAACCTCAGTCGAAACCGGACCTTCATTTTTCCATCACAAAACGCAGAACTGCTACTGATATTTTGTCTAATTGGCTCAATTTCCCAACACTGAGACGAGTCGATGGCCTTGACTTGGACATGCTTCCGGCAAGCGAGGGAGGTCACCGGGAGGCTCGCCCCCAGCAGTCCGAACAGCTGAAGTCTCGTTGATCTCACCCTGGCCACCCACTCCAGGCTGGCTGCGCTGGCCTCTCTGCTGTGTCAAGTGCTGTGTCAAGCTCTCAAACAACTTCACAAAAACACTGTAAAATCCAAAGCTCACTTCAGAAAAGATCACACAGAAGCACGCCGACAAAAAGAAACGGGTACGGAGCGTGGCACCCAAGAAAAAATATGCGAAAGAGAGCTCTGTAAGCGTTTCGCTGACGGTCAGCACAGCAGCTGAGAGTTCACCACTCCCGCTAGCAGCCTCTTGCAGCCTCAATGAGAGCACCTTCCCCGAAAAGAGAAGAAAGGAACAAAAACCGTTGGTGCTGGCCGGTAAAGCAATCGTGGCTCCTTGAAAAATCTTCTAGGTTTACTGACGCCCCCTACTGGTTTGCTGACGCCCCCTACTGCTAGCCCACCCATCCCGTGTTTGTGTTTTTGCGTACTCCCAGCGCATTTGGGTTAAGTCGTCAAATGAGAACAGCGCAATGTAACCCGATGTTGGTGGCGTTCCTTTTCTGCTAACGGAGTATAGTACCCTATTTACTTAAACTCCTGGTGCAAACCTATGCGGTAATGTAATCGTGGCTCCCTGACCCGCCCAAAAGCCCTTCGGGTATCGTGTGTATGTAGGAAAGTATGTATGTGCATGTACGCATGTTAAGATACCCTACGTGCTCATCCGTCGTGTGTCCTTCGGACTGGGGGGAAATCATTTGTTGCTCTGAAGTGGGTTCGGTTGTGTGAGTGCGTGTGTTCTTGGTTGGGTTGCTTTGCTTGTCAAGTCTCTTCGTCATGCTGGTCAATATGTCATGCGTGGTTTGCTGCTTGTTGTCTGATGGTTGCTTCCATGTTTGTTTCTTTATCGCCTGCGTCGGAGTATGTATGTCTCTGCGTCTATTTGTCACTGTGTTTCTTGTGTCTGTCTGTTCCTTTGTTTCGTGAGCCTGAGTTGAAGTGTCCCTGTGTGTTTCGGTGCAACGTGTCGATCTGAGTCAAAGCAAGGCGGCAGGGAAAAGAGATGCCTTGGAAGTCCGTACCTAAACACTTGTGCATGCACAGCAGCTGTCAAATAGACACAGCGTCGCCTGCTGGTGGCTGGCGTGGCTGACTGGGATGGGCACGGCCTCCTTCCAGCTCGCCTGCATCTGTCTAACAAGCTGAGAAATCTGTGCTTCTTAAAACCTGAGTCGAAACCGGACCTGGATTCTTCCATCACAAAACGCAGAACTGCTACTGATATTTAGTCTCATTGGCTCAATTTCCAAACACTGAGACGAGTCGATGGCCTTGACTTGGACATGCTTCCGGCAAGCGAGGGAGGTCACCGGGAGGCTCGCCCCCAGCATTCCGAACAGCTGACGTCTCGTTGATCTCACCCTGGCCACCCACTCCAGGCTGGCTGCGCTGGCCTCTCTGTTCTTACATTCAAGAATGAACTCTGCTGTGTCAAGTGCCGTGTCAAGCTCTCAAACAACTTCACAAAAAAACTGTAAAATCCAAAGCTCACTTCAGAAAAAATCACACACAGAAGCACGCCGACAAAAAGAAGCGCTTCTCGGGTAAGGAGCGTGGCACCCAAGAAAAAGATGCAAAAATGTGCGAAAGAGAGCTCTGCAAGCGTTTCTCTGATGGTCAGCACAGCAGCTGAGAGTTCACCACTCCCGCTGGCAGCCTCTTGCAGCCTCAATGAGAGCACCTTCCCCGAGAAGAGAAGAAAGGAACAAAAACCGTTGGTGCTGGCCGGTAAAGCAATCGTGGCTCCTTGAAAAATCTTCTAGGTTTACTGACGCCCCCTACTGGTTTGCTGACGCCCCCTACTGCTAGCCCACCCATCCCGTGTTTGTGTTTTTGCGTACTCCCAGCGCATTTGGGTTAAGTCGTCAAATGAAAACAGCGCAATGTAACCCGATGTTGGTGGCGTTCCTTTTCTGCTAACGGAGTATAGTGCCCTATTTACTTAAACTCCTGGTGCAAACCTATGCGGTAATGTAATCGTGGCTCCCTGACCCGCCCAAAAGCCCTTCGGGTATCGTGTGTATGTAGGAAAGTATGTATGTGCATGTACGCATGTTAAGATACCCTACGTGCTCATCCGTCGTGTGTCTTTCGGAGTGGGGGGAAATCATTTGTTGTTCTGAAGTGGGTTCGGTTGTGTGAGTGCGTGTGTGCTTGGTTGGGTTGCTTTGCTTGTCAAGTCTCTTCGTCATGCTGGTCACTCTGTCATGTGTGGTTTGCTGCTTGTTGTCTGATGGTTGCTTCCTTGTTTGCTTCTTTATTGCAAGCGTCTGAGTATGTATGTCTCTGCGTCTATTTGTCACTGTGCTTCTTGTGTCTGTCTGTTCCTTTGTTTCGTGAGTCTGAGTTGAAGTGTCCCTGTGTGTTTCGGTGCAACGTGTCGATCTGGGTCGCAGCGTGGCGGCAGGGAAAAGAGATGCCTTGGAAGTCCGTACCTAAACACTTGTGCATGCACAGCAGCTGTCAAATAGACACAGCGTCGCCTGCTGGTGGCTGGCGTGGCTGACTGGGCTGGGCACGGCCTCCTTCCAGCTCGCCTGCATCTGTCTAACAAGCTGAGAAATCTGTGCTTCTTAAAACCTCAGTCGAAACCGGACCTGGATTTTTCCATCACAAAACGCAGAACTGCTACTGATATTTAGTCTAATTGGCTCAATTTCCAAACACTGAGACGAGTCGATGGCCTTGACTTGGACATGCTTCCGGCAAGCGAGGGAGGTCACTGGGAGGCTCGCCCCCAGCATTCCGAACAGCTGAGGTCTCGTTGATCTCACCCTGGCCACCCACTCCAGGCTGGCTGCGCTGGCCTCTCTGTTCTTACATTCAAGACTGAACTCTGCTGTGTCAAGTGCCGTGTCAAGCTCTCAAACAACTTCACAAAAAAACTGTAAAATCCAAAGCTCACTTCAGAAAAAATCACACACAGAAGCACGCCGACAAAAAGAAGCACTTCTCGGGTAAGGAGCGTGGCACCCAAGAAAAAGATGCAAAAATGTGCGAAAGAGAGCTCTGCAAGCGTTTCTCTGATGGTCAGCACAGCAGCTGAGAGTTCACCACTCCCGCTGGCAGCCTCTTGCAGCCTCAATGAGAGCACCTTCCCCGAAAAGAGAAGAAAGGAACAAAAACCGTTGGTGCTGGCCGGTAAAGCAATCGTGGCTCCTTGAAAAATCTTCTAGGTTTACCGACGCCCCCTACTGCTAGCCCACCCATCCCGTGTTTGTGTTTTTTGCGTACTCCCAGCGCATTTGGGTTAAGTCGTCAAATGAAAACAGCGCAATGTAGCCCGATGTTGGTGGCGTTCCTTTTCTGCTAACGGAGTTTAGTACCCTATTTACTTAAACTCCTGGTGCAAACCTATGCTGTAATGTAATCGTGGCTCCCTGACCCGCCCAAAAGCCCTTCGGGTATCGTGTGTATGTAGGAAAGTATGTATGTGCATGTACGCATGTTAAGATACCCTACGTGCTCATCCGTCGTGTGTCCGTCGGACTGGGGGGAAATCATTTGTTGTTCTGAAGTGGGTTCGGTTGTGTGAGTGCGTGTGTTCTTGGTTGGGATGCTTTGCTTGTCAAGTCTCTTCGTCATGCTGGTCACTCTGTCATGTGTGGTTTGCTGCTTGTTGTCTGATGGTTGCTTCCTCGTTTGTTTCTTAATGGCCTGCGTCTGCGTATGTATGTCTCTGCGTCTATTTGTCACTGTGTTTCTTGTGTCTGTCTGTCCCTTTGTTTCGTGAGTCTGAGTTGAAGTGTCCCTGTGTGTTTCGGTGCAACGTGTCGATCTGAGTCAAAGCAAGGCAGCAGGGAAAAGAGATGCCTTGGAAGTCCGTACCTAAACACTTGTGCATGCACACCAGCTGTCAAATACACACAGCGTCGCCTGCTGGTGGCTGGCGTGGCTGACTGGGCTGGGCACGGCCTCCTTCCAGTTCGCCTGCATCTGTCTAACAAGCTGAGAAATCTGTGCTTCTGAAAACCTCAGTCGAAACCGGACCTGGATTTTTCCATCACAAAACGCAGAACTGCTACTGATATTTAGTCTAATTGGCTCAATTTCCAAACACTGAGACGAGTCGGCCTTGACTTGGACATGCTTCCGGCAAGCGAGGGAGGTCACCGGGAGGCTCGCCCCCAGCAGTCCGAACAGCTGACGTCTCGTTGATCTCACCCTGGCCACCCACTCCAGGCTGGCTGCACTGGCCTCTCTGCTGTGTCAAGCGCTGTGTCAAGCTCTCAAACAAGTTCACAAAAACACTGTAAAATCCAAAGAGTTTTGAAGTGAAAGAGCTCGGAAAAAGAGGTATTGCTGGAACGACGTAGTTACAGAAAGGGTGGCCGCAGTAAATTTTCATCGTTTTACAGCCGAACCACGTACCCGTACATACACCAAAAACCGAACCGCCGACCGGCCAGATCATCCGCCCAAACCGAACACTATCCTTCTATCCTTCTTGGCCCAGGCATCTCTGATGCTTTGACCATCGTGCGATGCCCCTTACTTGTCCTAAATGCGCCGTCGAGGCTAAAACTGCTCATTACTTCGGTAACCAGACAGCGACGCCGGGCCTTTGCTGGCTGCTCCTCCCTGGCCGAACCCAGATGCCTGACATGTCAAAGAGTATTCATACGAACCCTAAACCCTAAACCCTAAACCCTAAACCCTAAACCCTAACGTTTCATGTCAGTGAACGATGGATTCGGCACTCCGCCTCCAGTGTGTCCGGAGATGGCACCGAATGTGACGCTGCACCAGTGTCGTCAAAGGATTGGGATGCCAAAACACTTCCAACCTCTGCCATGTCCTGAGGCGAGAACTGGCATGAAGCAAACGTTTACAAGCTTACGAGTACATGCTTGGGTGTTGACGCAAAAAGGAGAGTTTCAGGCACCCAACACGGAATCCTCCTTCCAGCCCTGGTTGCAATCACCCCTTCCTTCCACTTTTTGAGTTGCATACTCCCCGGCTCAAGCCAGACCTGAAACCATTCAGCTCGATGCTTTACGGAACCGTTCCAAGCGTTTGACCGCTTGGCCCTCACTTGGCCAAGATCCATGAGGCGATCCCCTTCCGCCCCAGATCCCTAAAACATCCCTTGGGGCGTCTCTTGAGGGTCCTTGAAGGGTCCTAAAGCAGCAATGCTCAAGCATGAAACCACCCATGAACATGAAAGCCATGCGACATATAAATAAGCATTATCGATCATTACGATGCAGAAAACACCTGTGCAAGCCTATGCGTCTGCAGCTGCATTGAAGCCAACCCTGCCAACTCTGCGTGCCCGAGTATCCCAGGCGTCATCTGTATCGGCTGGCGCGCTCTCCTTGCCAACCCGCTGCGACTCCTCTGGTGGGTCCTGCGAGGCATTCTCTACGAAAACTTTGAAGACACCCCTCATTCTGTTGAACTGATCAAAGATGTCAAAGACACCTTCACAGCGGAAGCGACCCCAGCATGAGGGGCTGTTGCAAACGCTTGCGATGCCAAAGCCCGCCCAACTGTGGCGACGTCCTGGCAAGAAAATCTGTGCTCCCAAAGCGTTTCAAGCCGAACGCCCGCAAAATCCCTCGCTAGCGTCAATCGGCCGGCTCGGCAGGATTTGCCAGCGACGATGCATGAGACTCCAACGCACGAGCCACAGTTCGGGCCTGAGTTAGGAGAAGACGCCGTGAGACTGCTTTGCACCGAACGCCTCATAGTGTTGACCAGTAGGGGCCAACCACATGCGAGCCCAGAATACTCCACCAAAACAAACAAAACTATGCAAAATTGCTTAGATCTGCTTAATTCAAGTATGTCAAATATGCTTGTGAAGCGGGGAAACCGTATCTGCCGTCAAGTCACAGCTTCGTCCTCCATGCTTCCCCGGAACGCGTGCTGCGCGAGAGCGCCCGCAGCTGCGAGGTCCTCGGCACGAACGAGCAGCAAGTAGCAAGCAAACCAGCTTGGAAAAGAAGAACAAAGCGTGAACTGCGCCAGCTTGGTCGCTTACTTCGCAACATGGACGTCGACACTGTGGGGTTTCAAGCCGTTGACGGCACAAGGCTAGGAATCAGATGGTTACCCACCGCATGATTTGCCTGCCTTTGCGCGGTTTGCGACTCGGGCGATTGTTGGCGAAAACACTGATATTTACGATGCATGCCATAATGACAAGACATGCGTTGTTAAACATGTGTTGGCTGCGTGCGTGCATAAACAACTGGAATTCGGCTTCCGGGATCAACCGCTTTTCATACTGAAACAACTAGTGCTCCTGACCTAATTTTTGAACACATGTTGTGCAAAACACCGTTTCATCTACATTCTGCATGTAAACAAAACGTGTTTACTGATATCGAAAAATGAAGATCTCCTCTTTGAGGAAAACACTGAATTTTTCATTGCAAAACCACTCAGAAAGGGGGAAACATCCGGGCGTTTGATTCATGAATCACAAAGCCAGCTTTGTGTGCAGTTCTCAATACTGGCCCATTATGTTCTGATGACAACGACTGAAATATTTAACGGAGCCAATGCCCGCAGTCGGCTACATGCCCAAAGCAGTCAAAAACTTTGTACGGGTGAAGGAGAGAGGGTTCGCTCTCGTTTTCGTCGGGAGAGCCAAACAAACAACAAGTAACAAGTCGGGCTTTTTAAACATTTAGTAGTAGCTATTGACAGCCCCATTAGAACACTTTTTCTTGGACCGTCATTAACACCCCCTACAAAAATTCTACGAAAGACAATGCAAGGAAGAAGATTCAACATTTTTTGAGAAAATTATTGTTCCTTGTTCAGTGGTTCACGAATTTAATGCTGAGTTCGCAAAAGTGGATTTGTGGTTGGAGGGGCGAACAAAGCTGCGATGGAATGAACGAAGATGTGATTGACTGGCTTGAAAATCCACTAACAGGATTGCAAAGGTGCGAACGGTTCTGTGGGGGATTCTCTGATTCAATTTCTAGGTCATGGGTCCAACTGCAGACGCGGCAGGAGACGACACGGGGAGCACTGCTCGGCTCCTCGGTTGCAAGCTAAGCGAGAGGTGTTGCAGCAAGGGCCATCAAAGATTCCCATACAGCAGAGCAGCACGTCTGACCAGCCGCCAGGCCAGTTCACGAACGAAAATCGAAAATCACCAAGCCCCCAAGAAGGCCCGAATAGAAGCGAAGAGCAGCCCCACACAAATCCCGATTACAAGCAAAGTCAATGCAGGTCCGGGGTTCGAAGGGCTCGCGAAGGAAGATATCCCAACCCCGCTACCGTGCACCTCGAAAAAGCCAGCCATATTACTGCTTTCAGCCTGCTTTCAGCCGAACTCACATACGCACACGCACACCACGAACGAAACACCCGAAATAGGAAATCTAAACTCTACCCTCTACACCACTACCTCAGCCTGGATACATATATGTATTTGCAATACACATACACAACTCCAATATGTGAAATGATGAACCTGCATCGAAAAACTATATAATCCTTTTCCGAGCCAGCTCGATAGAATCCAACGTTTTAACAACCCTGCATGCATCACAAGTTTCGGATGTTTCCGAGCCGGCTGGATCTGATTCCCAAACTCGAGCCGGCTCGAAATACGCACAATGTTCGCAAAAGCCCGAAATTCTGGAAACGACCTGTATCTTGCCAACATGTTGGCTTTGGTTCATATTTTTCTTCTGTTGTTCAAGCCGGTTCAAGTTTACGAGTTGATGGGCTCAAAATGTTGAATGATTTCCAGGCCGCTCGGTAAAATTGCAACCATTCCACAGCTCCCACCTTTCCCAAAGTCTACCATGGCGAAGGGGCAAGCAACAAGATCTATGCAATTCTATGCGTCTGCAGCTGCATTGAAGCCAACCCTGCCAACTCTGCGTGCCCGAGTATCCCAGGCGTCATCTGTATCGGCTGGCGCGCTCTCCTTGCCAACCCGCTGCGACTCCTCTGGTGGGTCCTGCGAGGCATTCTCTACGAAAACTTTGAAGACACCCCTCATTCTGTTGAACTGATCAAAGATGTCAAAGACACCTTCACAGCGGAAGCGACCCCAGCATGAGGGGCTGTTGCAAACGCTTGCGATGCCAAAGCCCGCCCAACTGTGGCGACGTCCTGGCAAGAAAATCTGTGCTCCCAAAGCGTTTCAAGCCGAACGCCCGCAAAATCCCTCGCTTGCGTCAATCGGCCGGCTCGGCAGGATTTGCCAGCGACGATGCATGAGACTCCAACGCACGAGCCACAGTTCGGGCCTGAGTTAGGAGAAGACGCCGTGAGACTGCTTTGCACCGAACGCCTCATAGTGCTGACCAGTAGGGGCCAACCACATGCGAGCCCAGAATACTCCACCAAAGCAAACAAAACGATGCAAAATTGCTTAGATCTGCTTAATTCAAGTATGTCAAATATGCTTGTGAAGCGGGGCTGGTTTCGTATCTGCCGTCAAGTCACAGCTTCGTCCTCCATGCTTCCCCGGAACGCGTGCTGCGCGAGAGCGCCCGCAGCTGCGAGGTCCTCGGCACGAACGAGCAGCAAGTAGCAAGCAAACCAGGAAGAAGCGTGAACTGCGCCAGCTTGGTCGCTTACTTCGCAACATGGACGTCGGTACTGTGTGGTGATGTGTGGTTTCTGCGACAAACAAAGCTCGAGGCGATGAGCATTTCAACATCGGGACAACTATAGCTTCGTCCAGAGCCGACCTGTGCATCTGCGCAGCCCGAAAAAACACAAGCGAGAGAAAGCATTGTGTGGGACTTCGTTCCGCATAGAAGAAAAGCATGCGGGACTTTGTTCGTGATCACACAACTGCCAATGCCAAGCCGCCAATGTTGAACATGTCTGAAAGGCATGACGAGGTTGTATAGCACCGTAACACAACATCACGTATACGTTGATGGCGCTATCCGAGGGGCACTTGGGACCGCAGACGAGGAAAGGCCTGGCAAGCACAAAACACGCAAGAAAATCACAACCGCACGACGTACAGCGACAACACTTGGAGGCTGTGACATGCAGCCTGGACGTTGCCGATCGGCTCGGTAGAAGCGCTTGTCGAAGTCATCATCTGATCCCAATGATGGAAATGAACCTGCGAAAATGCTTCAAACGCTTCAAACCGTCAGCGAAGCCACATGATGATGACGGTTGCTTTGAAGGAGAAGCGGCGCATGACTTTTAGGCAAAGGTCCTCATGGGAAAGTAAAACACGTTACTTCTCGGTGGAACTTTCACGTGAAGACCCTTCCGGCTCATAGCTGCTGGATTTGACAACTGTAAAGGTCAAGTCTTTGACCTTCGCGAAACTCTCTTACGGCAGACACTCGATATGTCTTTTTGCCAAGAGCAATTTTGTTCATGTGCCTCTTCATGGATTCATGCGGATGTTACTAGCGAAGATTGTCATTAGATTTGCTGACACGGACCATAATCTGCAGCCGACAGACGAAGCATCGCAGATCGATGAACCAAGCACATCATGCCGAAGGTTGCACTTATTCCCGAACGCTGGTCAGACTTTAAGCAACAACAGTCACAACAATCACCGCTCTGCAAACTTAACCACACCTGTTGAGCGAACCGTATTCTTGCTTTCAAAAAGAGGAGGTGCATCACTCTTTTCGACATATCCCCGTAGGTAACAGCTTGTACATAAAATTGCATGTTCCGTCGCGTGTTTGCACGCGTGTGTGTGTGTGTGTGTGTGTGTGTGTGTGTGTCATTCGATTCGTTTACAATTGCGTGGCAAGTTGTGGCAGTATGGCGTTTTGACTCGCAGCAAGTAGATGGCTAACTCGTCACAACAACGCTTGGCAACAGTTGGTTCTTCTGTGGACAGGGCCAAAGGCACTATGAAGCAATAGCGCAACTGGTAGCCGATGTTGGAAACATTGCCGGAATCGTGGCACGGCAAACCCTAAGACTTAAAGCCTCAAACTGATACCCAAACCTTTCAGTGATGCTGCCAAGTGGTTCACGTCACATCGTTGATACATGATAAATCAAGTGGATGGACCGAAATAGCTGACATCATCTGACCGTGGATCCGCTTTGTTCTTCTGCTGAACACGACTTTCCTTTTCGGTCGCACGCTGCTGCACAACACTGCAAACTGACATAACACGTGGTTTTGCGTGCCAACATTCGTGGCATGAACATCTATTGAACGAACCCTTCCAAGTGCACGTTCACTTTGCCGCGGCTCACTGCAACTTTCAAGCACAAACACGAACGCGAATTCTAAAATGCACGCCTTCTAATCCCGGAGATCCAGGCGTTGGTGGTTCAGCGCCTTGTGTTCCATCATGCAGTCCAACATAATCATGACATTTGACTGAACATCCCGCCTGCCACTAATGCGACATCTGCACCGACATTGCTGGCAGTCATAACAACCGCATGTTCAAGTTATAACGTACGTGCGATCAATGTGGCATCTTCAATCCCCAATCCCCGAACCAACGTTGCAATGCGAGCATTGGTTCGGGTCCGTCCGGACCAAAATGGGCATATGCCATTACTTTAGAAAACCAATACTGACCATGGAAAATCTTGACAAAGTGTTCCTTGCTTCTTCTGTGCTGATAGGGGCCCACATGCTCAACGTTGAACCAACAGCACCAAAATGCATCAAAAAGATGGTGGCAGGAAAAATTCCCGTTGCGACTGGATTTTTCACTCGCCGAAAATGCGTTCTCTGAGGCCAAAAGCATGAAATTCTTACTCACCTTTATGGGATGCCAACACTTGAACATGTTACACGCTCTGCAGGTTCAACCAACCCCAACCTCAGGGTTTTTTTGTATAGTTGTCACAAAGCAACTGTCATATCAAAATATAAACATGGATCAAACAAAAAATGCGACATCTTCGCGAATATGTCTCACAATCCACTAGCTCTCTTTTCTCAGGATTGCGATTGCTGCGCCGAGTTGAGATTCAAGTGGCCACCGCATTGGAACAAATCATATTCCAACTGCATGAGGACATATGTCAACGGGAATTTTGTTGTAGAGTTCTTACGGGTCACAAGTTCATTGGCCAAACTGGCCGTTCCAGCAGAAACAGTGAAAGCTTTCCCACGACTCTGAGTCCATGTTGCCAGCAGTTCAACCAGTGATTGCTGCGCCAACGTACCTCAAGGGCCTACTCCACCCAGCTTTAGCCGGAAATATCACACCAGATCTTAGGGTGGGATGGGCGGGACTTTCGGAATCTGGGCTCCCCGTAGAGCCGACTCAATAAATACAAGCATGAATCATCAAGACTCCCAAGAGTGTCACAGAAATGGAAGATCGTCAGAAAACCAAATCAGATGCAGAACGGGGCCCACCCTCCTCCCCTTTGTTATCATACATGCCTATGGGCAAGCCCAAGAAGCTTGGTTGAACCCAAACCCGAACCCCAGGTTAACCCAAACCTTAACCCCCACGTCATGAGGTTGCAATTCGACTCGATTACTACGACTACTATTCCGATAGTCGCATAATTAATGAACACAAGAAGCGAAAGGGGGTGGAATTTCCATCAGTTAAGGGGCTAACCCGAGCCCGAACCCCGGGCTAGGGTTCAGGTTCCCAAACCCTAAGGCCAGATCATGGGTTGAAAGTTCGGGTTATAAACCGATGGGGCACGGCAACGGCTATGACTACGACTACGAATACGACTACGACTCGGACTACGACTACCACTACCACTACCACTACCACTACCACTACCACTACCACTACCACTACCACTACCACTACCACTACAACGGCTCTAAGGCTTTGCAGACGTGGCAACGAAACGTTGCAAGAACGACTGTTCTTCTCGTCCACGAGCAAAAGGACCTTGGCTCCAGCCTCGGCAGCGGCACACAGCGCCGGGGGATCGCAATCGTATGTGTTTGCCGTGGCCAGAATGACGACCGGAGATCCGTCCCGGCGGCAACACCGCCCTGGGAATGCGTTCCCGGAGTGACGTCGCGCACCATAAACTCGAGCCACTGGCTGTCGGGAAGGAGGGTCACGAAGATATGCCAGGATTGAAAACCGCCGGACCTTATTCTGCGCTGCCTGGCGCAACGCATGTTGCGCCCGCACTTGGGCCTGCAAGCCAGCGGTGCGTGTCTCCGACCTCTCGAGGTCCTTCCGCAACTGCGCATTCTCCTTCCTCAACAACTCAAGTTCGAAAAGCGAGCCTCCGGACACGGCTGTAGCTGGGGAGAGGTAAGTGAAGGGCTCGCGCCATCGGGCGCGGGAGCACTGCGACCGCTCCTGATCGGCAAGGAAGAGCGAGGCGACGTGGGGTAGTCGGGGCTGCCGCAGCGATCATCACAGCTGGCTTGCGACTCCTTATAAAGGTGCTTCTTCGGCATGGAAAAGAAGCATTTCGCCCTTATCACTAGAAGTCTCGTGGTAAAATCCACGGCCAGCAGCAACCCGGTGCACGATGGCATGTGCAGCACTCTTCAACCCAATCACCTTTCCTGCCAGCTTCCTCAGCTTGCAGTGGCCTGGGAAATCTCAGCTTCCTCAGCTTGCAGTGGCCTGGTAAATCTCTGACCACTGCCCTCAATACTGTCCAACTCGGACTCAACTTTGCTCGTGACCTCATCTTACTCAGCAACGGTCAAATCACCCAACCTCAAGCCGCCAACTTGGCTGAACACGGAATCAGACTCCGGTTTAAACTCGAGCCACATTGGCCTCTGGCAGACGGCCGCTGAGCCGGAGCATCTCGGTGGCAGCAGCTTCTACCACGACCTGTTCAGGTTGACTTTCCAACCCAAAACAACCTTCTTCTCCCTGATCTGAGGACTGGTCGACTCTTTTTGTGACCGCCGTATCAAGATGATCTTCAGGAATACAGGGCGCCTTCCCCTTTGAGGAAATTGAACCATCACCATTGGTTGGTCCCTCGCCAGGATAACCCTTTGTGCTGTCAAAGATCCTCCCGGCAGAACGGTCTTGGATCGAAAACTTCCAATTGGGAACAACCCTAGAATACAAGTTCCACAATAGCATCCTTGTGCCAGACAGTCTCGACGTGCCACCGGTCGTCACACCTCCAGCATCTTCAATAGGAATAAGAGTTTCACCACTCCCTTGTCCAAAAACCATTTCTCGCTGTCCAGAGATCTCCAACACCATCCCTGACGGATCCACCTCCTCATCATCCTCATCCATTCGTTTCCATAGTTCCTCCAATTCGTCAGCACATGTAGCTGCTTGAAGGAATTCCATCAACCGATCCCTTCCATGTTGCCAGAGAAATTCTGTATTCACCACAGTCCCTTGACCACCAAGGAGAATAAACGGACGTACCAGTGTTGCAACCCGAACCATCAGCTTAATGTGGTCTTCCATACCTGGAACGCGGCTCCAATCGAAGGCTATTGCTTCCATTGCAGTTCCAAGGGTATCCGAATTTGTAAACTCATGTCGCAACTCTGGAGATAGCAAAACTCCCATAACTGAGAGCGGGTA